ACTCTGGTCTGACCTTGGGGTGAACTTCCTGGAACAACATCTTCTGGGAAGATTGGCAGCTCTGATTAATGCTGTCCACTTGTGAATATTCTTTCTCATTGATAAATAATGGCTTCCAATTTGTTTAAAAATGGTTTCATAACCCTTTCCAGATGTTTGAGGAGCAATGGCAGCTTCTCTGTGATCATTGGTGGGTATTTCTCCCAGTTGGCCAAAGCAACTAACACACATTTGGACACACCAGACCAGCAGACTGGGAAGACACAGAAACTTTCTGAAAGCTCACTGTGATTATTTGTCAATCAGTGAGCGTGGTTAGGATCATTCCACATGAGATCTTGGACCACTTAGGCCAGTAAATCACTGACCTTTGACTGTTCTGATTGGAGAAATGATATTGAAAGAAAATGTGCAAATGTTCTGTTGGCATCAAGGTGAATTGGGACAAATGACACAATTAAGGCTTTCACATCTGGGTCTCTACCCACTGATTGGCTGACTGAATTTCATGCCTACCTATAGTGGGAGCCTCTGGTTGGTGGGTAGAATTAGCCAGCAGCAACTTCCTGCACGTGTGATTCATTTTCAGTCTGCATGCAGTGGAGTAAACATCTCCTCTGTCTGCTGCTCGTGCCTGCCGCTCCAGCCGCAGCAGATCAAGGACAGACTGCTGTGAGCAGCACACAATATCTCAGAGAGAGTAGGAAGCAGTGTGCTCCAAAAGCAACAATGCTCAAGACTACCTTTGTTTACTAACTTAAGGAAGACATCAAGGAGTTGTCTGCATGTCTTTTGCCCCGCCCACGTGCTCAGAGATGTATACGTTCCTGAGAAGGTTGTAAGAATGAGAACCTAGCCATGCATGCGTGGGCTGACACCAGCAAGACCGGACCGGGCTGGGCAATCGTAGCTGGGTATCCCACAAAATAAAAATATATATTTCTATGGTTTGGCCTGTTATCCATATTAAAGTAAAGATATACACCACAAAAATTGATTTATTTCCAAAACTCCAAGCAAAGTGGAGATTTGTAAATTATTTAACAGTGTTTGCTTGCGTACACAAAACACCGTGGTTTTAGGTTTTCAACTTCACTGCACACAACAAAAATTCGATGTCATCACATGTGCGACCTGTGTTCACACTGATTTGTTTTTACAAATTCAATAACTGCTCTTGAAATCCACAGGCAAAGAAGAGCATTAAGGACGGTTGTTGTCCACCAACTACTTATTTCAGGAAATGTTTTTCGGCAAACATACAGACAATTTGGGGAACTACTGCCCCCTACAGGCTTGGCATACCTATGAATGTGCTTCACAATGTGCTGAATTTATTTATTTATTTATTTATTTATTTATTTGAGACACTGTAGATGCAACTTTGTTCCTAGATAGGCAGGGGAGAATATTTGCTTTTACAAAAACCTTGCTATCTGTGGACATGGCCTTGTAAAACAAGTTTTCTATTTTAATGTGAGACGTGTGGCAAAATCTCAAACAAACTGTAACATTTAATTAGAAATGTCAAAACTAGTCTCAATTTCTTTGCAGTTTGCACCCGTTTCGTATGTCTCATATTTCTCACAGAATCACAGAAACTAACTTTCCTGAAGTTTGAGATGTCTGTTGTGACTCTGATTATTTTGAGAGGAAATCTGTCAAACAATTTTAGGAACTTTTTCTAAATCAAGACTAAAATCAGGCCCTATATCTCACACAAGGAAATCTAAAACTGTAATGGATGTTTTGAGATATTTTGGACACACCCTTGTGAATGCCACTTGCAATTTGTCACCAACAGTCCCAGAGTGGTGGGATGCAGACTTCAGCATAATCCATGCTTCTTTAAATGGTCACAATATAATCATCAAAGTGTAAAAATCAAAGTGGTACACCTACTTTTTTGCCTTTCCAATAACTGTTCTTTATCATTTAAACATTTTAATGGCTTCTCTTTTCATATTGCAGGTTAGGAGGGACATTTAATTAATCTTGAAACAGGTGACTCAGCGAGCAAACATTCAGAATAATTTATAAGAACTGGCCCTTGAGACACAATCCTTCATGGGATTTCTGACAAGGATGATTAAAAACAGTTTTGTTCCATGAGAGAAACTCTCCTGTTGTCGGCTGGAATCTAGCCGCTGCTTATTATAAACACATTCACTTTCTTCTTATAGTTTATAAAGACAAATCCACACCAAGACTGTGCTGAGGGGAGGTAAAGCGTCAGTTTTGGAAAGTAGAAGCAGGGAAGATTGTGCATCTACTGCTGAAACAGCTACTTTGACTTTAAAACCACATCATGTAGCATTACAACTGCTAGAAAACTGTTAGTACACCTAAGATCGTATGTTACTAAACTGATCACACTGACGCTGTAACTGGAGAGGCAGAAAACCTGACAACTTGACGCACCAGTCACATTTATAGCTTGCAACACCCTGAAAAAAGACACACCCATTACCCTCCATAGTAGACATGCTGGTCATCAACTTGTCTGATCTGCCTCAACAGCTGACCCTCCAAAGTCGCAGCAGTAGAGCAGCAGCTCTCAGTGTGTGGGGAAAGAGGCACATGAAAGTAGGACAGAGGAGTCTGGCCCCCTTCCGTTCGAACCATACGCACAGATCTGCGACAGGGGGAGAAAAGGCACTGGTCCTGGGTGGAGAGAGAAGAGAAGAGGCGACTTTCAGCTGGGCTGGTGGCGGTCGCTGAGGAAAGAAAGGATTCAGATCAGTGTGTCCTCATTGCACCAGGGCACACCATTTACTTTTCTACCATCAGGGGTGGAATACTGAACTGATTCGGCAGCACCTGGAAACATGCACAAGCGTACCAAGATAAAGATTGCCATCTTTGTGTTGGTGGTGGGTATGGCATGTATGTTCACAGCAGTAGTAACGGATCACTGGGCCGTGCTGAGCCCAAAGGTGGATAGACTCAATGAAACCTGTGAGGCAGCGCACTTCGGCCTGTGGAGGTTGTGCAAGAAGTACATCTACATCAGCTCCGAAAACTACGTTGAGGGGCATGGCTGTGGACCAATCAGCCTGCCTGGAGGTAAGACGTCAAGCAAAATTTTAAAGAAATGTTTAGTTTTCTTGTCTCTCTGGAGATAAAGTTATAAAACATGTGGGCATGGCGGTTTTATAGAGGTCACAAAGAAGGATGTTGCATGGCTTTTTAAACTTTTCAATGAATTTCTAAACAAGATCCAATTGGAGCTGGCACATTTGTAGTCATTCGTGATTTTTGTTATGTGTGAAAACATCACAAGGGTGTCACACCTTTCAGATCTTCTTCATTAATCCTTAGAAAATCTAATTTGATCCAACAGAGGCTTTTGGTTTTCCATTAAATTCTTTAGAAAAGAGAAATTCTGTAGATTTCCATCCGTTTATTTGGAATTTGAGAAAACGTTGCGTTTTGGTGCTACCGCAGGATCTTTCCCACTAGCTTGTTTAACAGTGTGTCAAAATGTTCTTACACTGTTTGAAAAAAAAACAGCTGCATTAAATACAGAACAACAGTAAGAACAAAATGTCACTTAATCAGTTACTAAATTTTAATATTAACTTCTTTCTTAAACAATCTATGTGTAATTGTGCAAACTTTATACATTTACACATTTAATATGATGATTTACATTTCCCACTGTAAACAGCATACAAAAATGACCTAAACTCTAAATGAATCTTGGTGAGTTGGGGGGCATGAGTGAAGAACAAATTCATTTTAATATATTTGCACGTCAATGCAAACCCTCTTGTTTCTGCTTGTAAAGTTTCTATTGCTAATTGTTTTTATGTTGGTAGCAGTCCTAGTAGCTTTTGATTGGATCGTCAGACAAACTCCAGGTTTAAATGTAAGATCTCCTAATTACAAAATAGACTAAGTGAAAGCAGGATTTTATGATTCTGGTATCTGGTGAGTTCTTCTCCCCATTGCTAGCATGCTAACAGTAGCATCCTAATGGTCCATGAATGCAGGTAGAAAGCTGCGAAGACTTAACATGAGTAAATCACTCAGAGAAACTTGAGCTTTTAAGTTCTGCAGTCCCAACAGGCTGCAGCCAAACACTAAACACCACAACAGCTGATGAACTGTTTATTCTGTCAGCCACCACACAACCTGCTGAGCACTGATGAACTGGGACACATACATAAAACACAAATGTCTGTCTCAATGGCTTTTTTATGTACGTTAAAGTGCATCTTTAATGTGAAGTCCAGCGATTTCTTGTGAAATAATTCTTGATGGGAAGGCCAGTGGCTGCTGACCTCCTTAGGTGGGTTGCCAAAATCTAAAACTAACAAAATTTCTGAACCTTTATGATGCAGTTTGGAAAAATTGGATTTTAAAATTTAAAATGCCTAGCTTTTAATAAAAATAAAGACTGTATTTGTTTCAGTGCTTAGGAGGCTAGGTGTGATTAAACTCGGGACCCGAACCAAAGCTTGACTTTGTAGAAGAAAGTATTATGCATGCAGGACTGTTGAACTGGGTAAATAGGGATGGTCTTTTCCCCACATTGGTAGCGCCATTGGAAAAAAAAAAAGATAAAATCATTTAACCAAACAGTCCCTGCCTTTTTACTGCTTTTTGAATTCCTATTTTGAATATGATAAATCTATTATTTCAAACACATTTTATAGCGTGTCTAAATAAACCTCTCACTTTAGTAAAACTCAAGCTGTGACTGAATAAATGCGCTGAAAACAGACTTGATCCAAGTCTAGCTGGAAGCACTCATCTATAGAAGAAGGGCTGCCCTGCTGGCACGCTGACCGTTATCTCAGAGGCAATTATCTGCCTGCGTGTCGGACAATTGCCGAGCCTTCACGTCAGGTTTTGGAGACAAGGCTGTAGGCATCCTAACAAATCCCCTCTACTTACAGAGACAAACTAATTCTCTTCCTGTCGGGATCCCTGCTCGCTGTCAACACTGCAGGGATTTTTTCAGGAACAGATGAAATGCCTGAGGGGGGTTCATTGGTCCAGACATGTGCTGATTCTAAATAAGCTCGACCCGCCCTGACATATGTGAAATTCTTCAATCTGCAGTGCAAAGTGGCAAATGTTTCTCATCTACTTCCTTTTGCCTCACAACCTAATGCACGATGAAAGCAGTGATCTGCTGCTCGGTCATTTATTAAATTATACTGTAAACGTTCGTTAGAAGCATGTAACTTTCATCTCTATGACGATGCATTTAACACAATAATGTACCATCATCTGTCTTTATTCGAAGAAGGAAATGTAACAGATGTCCCATCAGTGTCCAGGGATTTCCCCGGTAGCTGTGTTTGGAGAGGAACATTATTGTTTATCATAGCCACATGTCCTCAGAGAAGTGTCAGTCTCTGATCTAAGGCAGGACTCGAACAGCAAGCGAGGAGGAGATCCTCTGATATGAAACAAGCAGCAGCAAAAAACACACTTACTGCTCTATCTTGGGCTGCATGGAAGCCATGAGCACTTAATGTGTTTATGATATAGATCCTTCAAGCCTACTTCATTCAGAAGATCATCAGAAGTTCTGTGAAGTAGACAAGCTACAAAATCTTTATTTTATTGCATATTTTGGTTCTAGAAGTCCTAAAAAACTTCAATTTGCAAAAAAATAAAGAAAAAATTACTACGTTTCTTACAGTTGCTACGATGTTAAAAGAGTGTCAACCATGAAATGTGTCTCTGCTAGCAAATGCATGATTTATCTTTTTTATAATGTATGTAGCGGTAAAAATAGGCCACGTAAATACTCAGCTGCGCTCGGTCCATGAGGGTCAAGTGTTCACACACAAGCGCTTGGTCCATTTGAGCGACAGGAGCAGCTGACACAGTCAGACATAATTCTGAGGCCTGCACTTCCACCCAACTGTTCACTCAAGACCGATCACGTAGCTTCACATCTCTCTACAGCCCACGGAGCCACTCGAGTTACTGCACATTCTCTGGAGACGGGATGCGTGGTCCAAAAAAGACAGGAACTCTGTGGTTGCCCACTCTCAAAATCTACTCAAGTGTCACGTCAACCCGTCATGTATGGGTGCCGATAATGTTCCTGAGACTTACAGAGATATTTGTTCGTACAGTGGGGCAAAAAAGTATTTAGTCAGCCACCGATTGTGCAAGTTCTCCCACTTAAAATGATGACAGAGGTCAGTAATTTACATCATAGGTACACTTCAACTGTGAGAGACAGAATGTGAAAAAAAATCCATGAATTCACATGGCAGGATTTTTAAAGAATTTATTTGTAAATCAGGGTGGAAAATAAGTATTTGGTCAATAACAAAAATTCAACTCAATACTTTGTAACATAACCTTTGTTGGCAATAACAGAGGTCAAACGATTACTATAGGTCTTTACCAGGTTTGCACACACAGTAGCTGGTATTTTGGCCCATTCCTCCATGCAGATCTTCTCGAGAGCAGTGATGTTTTGGGGCTGTCGCCGAGCAACACGGACTTTCAACTCCCTCCACAGATTTTCTATGGGGTTGAGGTCTGGAGACTGGCTAGGCCACTCCAGGACTTTCAAATGCTTCTTACGGAGCCACTCCTTTGTTGCCCGGGCGGTGTGTTTGGGACCATTGTCGTGTTGGAAGACCCAGCCACGTTTCATCTTCAAAGCTCTCACTGATGGAAGGAGGTTTTGGCTCAGAATCTCACGATACATGGCCCCATTCATTCTGTCCTTAACACGGATCAGTCGGGCCTGGACATGCACTGGCTTCAGCAGCGGAACACGTCTGGCACTGCAGGATTTGATTCCCTGCCGTTGCAGTGTGTTACTGATGGTGACCTTTGTTACTGTGGTCCCAGCTCTCTGCAGGTCATTCACCAGGTCCCCCCGTGTGGTTCTGGGATTCTTGCTCACCGTTCTCATGATCATTTTGACCCCACGGGATGAGATCTTGCGTGGAGCCCCAGATCGAGGGAGATTATCAGTGGTCTTGTATGTCTTCCATTTTCTGATAATTGCTCCCACAGTTGAGTTTTTCACACCAAGCTGCTTGCCTATTGTAGGTTCACTCTTCCCAGTCTGGTGCAGGTCTACAATTCTTTTCCTGGTGTCCTTCGAAAGCTCTTTGGTCTTGGCCATAGTGGAGTTTGGAGTCTGACTGTTTGAGGCTGTGCACAGGTGTCTTTTATACAGATAATGAGTTCAAACAGGTGCCATTAATACAGGTAACGAGTGGAGGACAGAAAAGCTTCTTAAAGAAGAAGTTACAGGTCTGTGAGAGCCAGAGATTTTCCTTGTTTGAAGTGACCAAATACTTATTTTCCACCCCGATTTACAAATAAATTCTTTAAAAATCCTGCCATGTGAATTCATGGATTTTTTTTCACATTCTGTCTCTCACAGTTGAAGTGTACCTATGATGTAAATTACTGACCTCTGTCATCATTTTAAGTGGGATAACTTGCACAATCGGTGGCTGACTAAATACTTTTTTGCCCCACTGTAAATGATGCTAGGGGTGCAGAAAAGCTAGTCTCCCACAGGGTTGTGACTGTTTTGGGAGACCTTGCGAGTCACGCAGGGAAACTGAGAAATCTCTTTGATAATTCAAGGTATTTTAGAAAATCCCACACAGTTGCAGCCTGGTGGGATAATCGCTAAAGGTAGAGTCGTCATACATAGCTCCTTTTTTTCTTTATCTCATACGTTTTGTCAGTAAAGTGCTCATAAGAAAGCCTTGGAGTCAAAAATAATGTGTAAATAATGACAACGTGTAAAAACACTGTCAATCCGATGTCCTCACCTGATCTTTTTAAACATGACAGACTGTCCTACTTGGATCAAGTGAGGCGTTGCACAGCCTGTCAGGATAGCCAGAAGGACAAACGTCAAACGTCAGGATTAGAGTTAGGCCGAAAACTTGCATGGTTAAATAACGACTGCAATTGATAAGCATCGATTCTCGGCAAACTGCAAAAATGTGAGTTGAAGACATATTAAAATAGAGATTCAGCAATTATTCACTAAAAATTGTTGCTCCGTTATATTATAAAGTAGCAAAAACATTTCAATCTGCAATTTTTTTTCTATCTGTAACCTATAAAGTAACAGTGAGCAGTTTCCTGCTCCTCTGCCCTACTGGTTGAAAGTGGATCTACAGCTGTTGTAAATAACCCTGCTGTAGCTAGCGCTAACAACAAGCTAACACTAAGATGCCAAGTAATACTAAAATAAACCATGAGGTAAAAAGATCCACCCTGTCCAAAATTTTTTTTATTACTTACAAGTCCAGTAACAACAAAGCCAGGACACCATCAGTCTGTGATTCTTGTAGCCGGTATCTTTAGCACCCTCAAACTAGTGTAGGCTGCATAAATGTTCACTCCAGTTTTAGCTTTTTGCTTCACCTCCAAAGACATCACTCTCTTACTTTTACTTCCAGGTTCCGCCATGATGCCAACAGAAAAGGCTAACTTTGGGTGTTTCTCAAGGTCAAGGCTCCTGGCCTCGCAAGACATCGCCTTGCGAGGCCAGGCGCCTTGACATTGACACTGCCTTTCCTTGGTTAAACAAATCAGACATAAATCACATGAGGTAACATTATAATTTATAAGTATAAGTTTTAATGTAAATGTATAATGAGCCATTTATATTTTAAATTGTGTATATATTGGTTAAATTAATTATGTAAGCGAGTCACTACCTGCAAGCCACCGATGCTGCAACTACTAAGCAACTAACCAACCATAGCTAACTGTTTTTGGACATAAAAAAGCATTTTAGATATCAGCCCAATAGCTGCAATTAGTTGGCTCACATTTAATCTGGAAATTTGCCCCCGGATCAGCTGCCGGCTCCTGATCCGTTATCCTTTTGAAAATATTGCGCTTTATTGTGGTAAAATTTTGAACAAGGCCAGGCTACGAGGCACCTCCTGTGTATTCTTGCTCAGCTAGCTAAATGGCTAACAAACGGAGAACAGACACCTCCGTAGAACATAAACACGCCTTGGCGGATCCTGACAGTGTATCTCCTAGACAATTAGGGTGGGACCAAGACATCAAGGCAAGGATCCTTGACATGGACAAACACCCTTAGTTTCTTCTTCTTCATCATCAGTTTTTAGGATGGGTGGTATGCAGCGTCAAGGTGCATTACCACCACCTACTGGCGTGAAGTGTGGACGTGGAAACTAAATACCACCAGATACTAAATCTCCAAAGAATTTATAGAAGTAAACAACATAAATTATAATAAACCTCACAGCTAAACCAAGTAAATAAAGTCAAACTTCTTTTTCTTCTTCTTGTGCTTTTTATTGACAATCAATGAACTGAAAAATGCTAACTGCTAGCATAATAGCCAAAAGTCGTAAAGCGGGTAAAGAGCGCCCCCTAAAACATCTACCTGCTTCATAAAACTATTTAGTGCGGTTTTCGGTCAGCAGAGGGCTGCAGAATGGTGTCAAATATGAAATTGGTCAAGTTTCTAATTCAAATCACTGAGATCAATGTTAAATCTCGAGGTTCAAGTTTAAACTGTCTGTTGTTAGTTTAAATAAATTATAAAAGACTAAAACATGCTCCCTGTCTTGCTTATTTTTCCACCTGAGTTGGACTGGCATTTCCTTTAAAAGAACAATTTCCAGAGTTTTTGAATAAGGGTGAATTTCTAAGCAGTTTTCCAACCTTTCCTGTGAGCTTCAGCTCAGAGCTCGTGGAGGAGCTTTTATCACGCCTCTTATGTGTCATCTACAGTGAAAACAGGGAGGCTTGTTGCTTAGTAACAACCTGTTTCTCTTTTTTACTGCCATTCTCTGTCCTCATTCATAAAATGCAATCCATTTTTTTCTTCCTTCTGCTTGTTCTTGGCCCTACACAATACAGCACACTGCACTAAAAGCTCTCAGTTTCACAGGAAGGTTTTGTAAACATTGCAGTACTGACTTTTGGTGCCATAACATGTGTTTTTACTCCCTTTTAGACCAAAATATTCCATGTCTAACACCCACTTTACTGTATTTTAATTTTTCTCTGCATAAATATGAAAATATTCTAAGCATTAAACACCTTTTGACTTCTTCTCTTTGTGTGGAAACGTTTACTCGAGTTGAGACCTTCCTCTCACCATGATTACCGATGTGCATTTCACTCTGACTGAGATTAAAGCTTTCAGTTCAAACATATATGATGTTTCAAGCTGTTATCTTTTTTAAACAGAGAATTTCTCTCTGAAATTCCTGTTACATTTAGACGGATTTGTGTGTTAAGCTTGAGCTGAAATATCTGCTCCTATCGTGTAGTTTCCACTGTGTTTAAATTTTCATAATCTGACTTCAAAATTGTACAAAAAAAAAAAAAGAAATAAAGAAACGAATCCAACCCAGTCTGTTTCTGAACTGAATGGAATTATTTACAGAACCGGTGCAGCATCAACATGTTTTACCTCCACCAAATCAAATCCTTAAGGTCTCCCCTCTTCGTCGGCAGGAGGACACTTAAACATCACGTCGGCATTAAGCACATTTACTTTGACAGTGAAAGCAGCAATCGTTTTAGCATTACCATTATCCTCAGGGTGTCAGCTACTATAAGATGCTTTAAGGGGGTAAGTGTAAGATCTGAGACAGCGTGAAGTGTTCAAGAGAAGCAAAACGTGCATAAGCAATGGGGTGGAGTGGAGATAAATGTATAAACCTGTGCGGGGCATGACTAAAATAGGAGTGTGAAAAGGTTCTGTGCTGGGGTGGAGGAAAGGGGAATAGCTATAAATATTACTTAAAGTGATTGGTCAGATCTTTGGTAAAGGGGTTATAATCAGTATTTTACCTGTCACAGATGGCTCTTGGAATGACCTCGGTTTGTAGGAACGTAAACAAATTCTGCCTGGATTCAAGAGCCAACAGCTGCTGCAGGTGTGGTGCAGACTGGTGTCTCAAAAACAAAACAGCACCGGTCACTCTTGAGTCTCACATGGAGGCTGAACGTGAAAACAGTCTTCTACCCTCATTTCCTGAATAGACGGAGAGAAGCTCAGATTAGAAAAGCCTGTGAGAATCATCATGTAATGCTAAATTATTAGCAGCATAAAGATGAATAGCATTTAAATTGTTTCAAGGTGGCAACAGCCCATCTTTTCTTGACCCTTTTCTGACTAGCTGTTAGCTTGTCAATAGAAGAAGGGAAAAGGAAATACCAAAGAAATCAAAGACACAGATTTGCTATTGCATTCTGGGAACTTGGGGGCTACTTTAATGAAAACTTTCAGAAATTAGTATGTGAAGTGCCTACATGCTGCTCTTTTGAATTAGCATCTGCAATAATTACATATAAATACTAGAACTGATTAGGCATACAGATCAACGAGGCTCTGAGTTTCTTTCTTATTAAATATTCTGGTTTACTATGACTATAGACCCCACCATAACTTCAGCCGCCCATTAGTCCATAGTGGGTGTGTTGGATTGGCTGAGCACTACTTTATATGTTAATATTTTCTAATTTGTTGCACTAAAGTTAAAATAATATCACGTAAGAAAACATGGAGTCGAATTTGTTGATGTTTAAAATGATTAGTGGAGATGGATTCCGTCCGATCAGCATCAGAGCCTTTTAAATGATAAATGATCCGCACTTGCATGGCACCTTTCAGAGTCAGAGGACTCCAAAGCGCTTTACACTACAGTGTATCATCCATTCACACACACATTCACACACTGATGGTGATGAGCTACAATGTAGCCACAGCTGCCCTGGGGCGCACTGACAGAAGTGAGGCTGCCAAGCACAGGCAAGGTGTCTTGCCCAAGGACACAACAGTAGAATTGTCCGTTCGGAGCAGGGATCGAACCTGCAACCTTCTGGACAACTTGCTCCACCTCCTGAGCTACTGCTGCCCCATTTACCCATCAAAAGCCCAACCCTCCATCAAAGCTGCGTTTTTGAGCCTTTGTCCAAATTCACTGAAACTACTGACTTATTTCGGATTGTAATTTCCAGCCACCATCGTCATCATCTGATTGATCTAATCTCAGTTTATCCCTCGCTGTCTCACACAGCCTGGTATCATTCATCTGTTTCTTTTAGCACACTTGTATCTATTCATGAATGCTCCTTTCAAAATAAATGTTAATCAAATAAAGCTTCATCATTATCGGACTGCTGTTTTTTAATATGCACATGCTAACACTTTTGCAATAAGAACTCAGAAAATAATTTCTATATCATCCTTGCAACCTTGAACTGAATTTAAAATGTTTCTTTTATCTTACAGATGAAAACTGCACTTACTTCAGACATTTCAATCCAGGACAAGATGCTGAGATATTTGAGTATAAAACGCAAAAAGGTAGGTTGACCTTGTGACCCTCTTTGTGTCAAACAAGCCGTACCTCTTTCTTTTACACTATCAAAGGAGCAATGAAACATTTTATTGGGGACCTCTTTACCCTACATTTATTTTTGTGAGCTACATTCATTTAACGTTTGCTCTACTTGCATGCACATTTTAACATTTAGACATCACTTTATCTTAAGATTTAAATCTAAATATTTGGGTTTAACTTACATTTTAGTTTAATTTTAAATTTGATTCTACATTTTCACCTCAAACTTTATTTCGTGAACCTGGTAATTTAGCACAATCTGCTCCCCATACAGGTGTAACGACTAAAGTCGGTGACTTGATGACTCACCAGATTTGCAGAAAAGAGCACACGCAATTCCCAGTTCACAACATCAATATTCAATAGCTTTGCCACATTTTCTTCCAGTGACCCTGTCAAAACGTTGACCCCTCTGAGGCGTTGTTTTCAGGCGGTTGAGGGCACTGTCACACTCAATTAATGGGGAGTTAATGTGAACAGAATTGTCTTTGAAGTCACACACACCCCCCACAGCTTTTACCCCAAGATATTAATGCAAGCATTCATGGGTGACCCTTAACACACACACACACGCACCCCGGACCAACCCACACACTTCCTCGTGCTCATGGCCAGCCCTGAAGAGATTGTAAGTTTGATTGAATATATGGAAGCAGTGACCATGTTCCATGTGTGGGTTGAGCCATTTGCCTCATGCAGGAAGTGTACACAGAATGTCAACAAATCCAACCGTACAGGTTGTGTTTTATCCAACACACGCATGCGGTCACTAAAACATCCCTCAATCATGGGTGAAGTTTGAAATATATATTAGTAAGTAGAGCTCAACATTTAAAGGCTCTTAAAGCTTCTTTCCAGAGTATTTCTGTCATCCAATGGCACCATCTAGTGGCTGACAAGCGTATCACACAAAAACGCTGTTCCCTTGTTTTTTAAGATGGCGACTTCACTTTTCTGTTTATAAATGTGTTTCTGTAGCCGACAAACAGAGCTAAAACACGTTGTTTTACGAGTATTATTCTCATGTCACGTTGTGTTTTCATATATTTATATTTTAGAGACTTTCTTGTCCGTGAAAAGTTCATCAACTCTGCATCAGTCGAGGTATTCCTTAAATGTGAAGTGTCTAAGCGGCAGTCTAACGCTATTGGTTAGTTCTGGTCGGCGCTCAGTTTCCTTATGCACGGAGCTCTGCCGGGCAGGGGGTGTGCTTAGCAGGAAAAAAAAGACGTATTGCTTATATTATATCACAGTACATTATAAGATAATCACGTTTATGGATTTCTGACAAATTTTACATAATTTCTGAAAGAGGAAAACTCCGGAAAGCAGCTTTAATTTATTTAAGCTATCAAAATAAATCAAGAGGGACTGAATTTAAGACTTTTATGCCTGAAACAAGCAGTTTCAAAAAGTTCCTCTTTGTGATGTCACAAACAGGGACTTTTTGAAACTACTTGTTTTTGCATTCAACCACCAATTGATTATGTTGGAGGAGCAGCAGCTCTACTCTGAGCCCTTCCCACATATTGGAGCTTCTCAGCTCATAGCAGGCTATCACGGGATGGGTTGGGCGTCGCCAGCTCCAGCTTTGTTTTCTTAAAGTGACAGAAACCTGAAATGGCTCATTCTGGAAGGTTCTGAAATAGTCAAGAATTAAACTGCGTGAGAGGAATATTATCCATAGAACTTCATAAACAGGTTTTTTAAGATCTATAAAACAATCATAACATTTTAAAGTCTTAACATGTCTCCTTTAAATGTTAAATTTTGAATATTAACTTTAAATAAAAACAATAATCACAATATTCCCTGATTATATATGTATGTTTTATACTCATAAACTATTCAGAGTCAGAAAACTATTGAACATGTTGACTACAAATATCGTTTTGTCACATTTTCTAAATAAAATGTCTTTTTTTTTTTTTGCAAAAAATGTTTATTTATGACACTTATAGTTGATTTCTTGTCAGTTTAAATATTTAAATGAAATACAATTAAATAAATTGTCCATTAACAGTTGAATGCCAAGATAGAGAGTTTAGAAACACAAAAATCATCAAGGAGCACATTAGTCTGACGCTCAAAAACACACAACCAAACAAAGTCTGTGCACCTGAGAAATCAAGAAATAATGTTTGTGGAGTTCAAACTTCACAAAGAACACATTTATTTCTGGAGAACCCGACAGACGCAAAGGCAGCCTGTTCTCTGCCCTGATTCAGACCTTCTGGTTGTTTGCTAAAATGATGCTAAACACAGGAAGCAAACTAACCTTATCCAATGAAACACGAGACTGAATCCAGAACATCATAGCAGACAGCATGTGTAGAAGAAATCAGGCACCAAGCACCACCTCACTAATGTTACATGTGAACGCTTCATGTAGGAGAAATGCTTTTTTCTGCAGAATAGCAGTGAGGCCTAAGCTCCTGAAACCTGGGGCCATAACGAGTTTGAGTGAAGCCCTGCAGTCTGTAAGCCTTTCTGCTTTTCTGTTGATTTCTGGCAGTGAACCAGCTGTTGGTCTGCGTGGTTTTTGCTCTTGTTTTCAGGGGTGATTTTCCACAACACTGACTGGAAGATCAGTCAGTACAGGATGAAAGAGCAAGTGCATCGCCTAACTCGAACCCTAACTCTAAAGAGACAAAAATACATTTCAAACACTTGTCCTCCTCCCATGACAAACTTGTAGGAATATTATCAGGACTCTTCATATCAACAAAAGTATATTTCAGATCCAATGAAAGGATTCTCAACAGCAAATGTCCTGCCTGTTGTCAAAAACTCTTTGAACAACCGTAGTTTCATGAAACAGTGATTAATTTTGATCAAATTGACAAGCTAATGGCTAGTCTCAGTGGGGCCAGTTCCAAACTGGATTGCTATCCATCTTCAAACAATTCTGATTTTCAAAGATTTATATGAATAAGCAAACTATTTAACAAACCTTTGTATATTTGGCAATTTAAGCTGTCAATCAACAAGCATTTTATATCACGAGTTTCATATTTAACTCACGATTAATTGCAAATTAATCACAGATTGAAATATACCCTAACATTATAATTTCCATGATTTCAATGCTCTTATAATAAAAAAGAACTGATAAATTTACTTCCTTTATGAAAATGTTTGTGTGTTATTGCAACACGCATACATTCAGATAAGAGCGACTTAAAGAAACTTTATGTACTTAATGCATTCACTCTGACCGTTCTTATAGAATCACATCTGGATTTATAATCTCACAGAGAAGCCACCAGACCTTTGGTGCTTCTAACAGGAATATAACATTTGTGCTGGGATTATTCCAGAGGTCATGAACCTTTCCCCTCAAGAGAAGAAAAAAAATCTCAATTATTGTTATTATTCATTTCACCCTCTACATCAGACATGATTTATTATTTCTGCTTATAGATGATCAAAATTACATTTACATTAGTCTAAAGCAGTGGTTCCCAACCTTTTTCCCAAGGGACCCCTTTTTTACCAGTAAAATTTTTGACGACCCCCTCCCATTCTCTCTTCCAGTACAAACATTATTAAGAAATGATAAAATTGTTCAAGCACATTTTGATATGCTTTGATTCAATAGATAACAGTAATAGTAGGCTCCAGTACAGAACAAAGTCATTAACAAAACCAAACAGAGCATAATGTGCTTGACAGTTTGTGTTACTTTTCTGAACACATTGTTTCTTGTAAACACGGATAAATCAATCATTCCTATCAATAAACGTTTGACACATAAAAAATACACTGAGCAAAATGTACTTAAATGTGTATATTACTGTTTATACTAGATTATTTACTGTAAACGTTGTGATTAATCAACCAGTCCTATCTTTAATGAACTTTTGACACTTGAAAATAAAACGGTGAGCTGAGCAAAATGTTCTTAAGTGTGTTACTTTTTCTGTACTAATTATTTCCTGTCTTCATATCAGTAAACTTTTCACTCATGAAAAAAAATGTGAGCAAAATGTAGGCTATAAACAAGTAATAAATGAAGTTTTAACCCCTTAAAGTGGAGAGGTCCTGGCGACCCACTGAGAGGCTTTGGCGCCCCCTTGTGGGGGTCGGGACCCCCAGGTTAGGAACCACTGGTCTAAAGGACATAAACACAGGCATGCATGATAATAAAAATTATACATTCATGCACAGACACACACACACAAACACACACACACTAAACACTTCTAAATCCATACTCGTAAAGACCAAAGCAACCTGATACGGTCTCCGTGTGACTGGTGCATCTGAAGAAACCATTCTTGCACATGAATGATAGTGTTGCAAACACAGTTGAACGACTTAAAAAATGAACACCTTCTATCGAGAACAAAGCCACGGCATTTGCGTGTTTATTTCATTCAGCAACTCCTGCATGAATGAAACTCTGATGAGAGTTTTTTTTTACTCGAGTCAGCCCACAAGTTCCAAAGTCACGCAGGCTCAAAGAACACAGCGTTCAGGGTGTGGTCCTTTCCTCTGATGCCAGCACAAGATGAAGGCTCACTCCCCCAAAGGGTTGCCTCTCCCCTGGGCACGGTTCATGCGCCAGCAGGCGGCACATCAAAGGCCCCGGATCCTATCCATCCCTACGCTCAAAAGCAAACCAGCTGCTGTTCCAGTTAAACAAGCCACAAAAACAAAACCCACAAACCCTCCCGCTGTCCTATCAAGTGACCCTCCAGGACAGGATATGGTTGATGGTTTATCTCTTGGGGTCCACGTGGCATTTTTTTATCCAAGAAAGAAGAGTGAGCAGAGGCAGCAGAAGAGTTGCGTTGCTGTTAGCCAATCGGAGGCGAGATGTTCACACATCATGAATATTAACGAGACATCCTGCCATTTTCTCCAACTAACCTCTAGTTCATGAAACAGGAGCGCGAGAGCTTTTACTGCTCGCTGAAAATGACTCACTAGAGACGTCAGCTGACTTATTGAAATAACAAGGGCATGACTCGTTTAATAATAAAAATCCATCTAATGATTCAAATGATAGTTTGCTAAAACAGACGCAGGCAAGAACATCATAACCCACCTTTGTTCTGTTCAAGCACACGCTTTGAACAGATTGTCTGTCTTCTAGAGTACAACATCTCTGCTGCTGCAATCTCCATCTTCAGCCTGGCCTTCATGATCTTTGGGACCCTGTGTTTGCTGGGATCATGCACCGGGAAAGGCAAAGGAAGAGACTACCTCCTTAAACCTGCTGGCATGTTCTTTGCTTTTGCAGGTGGGTTCAGCTCAACTCATTCGAACAGCACATTATGTTCTGTTGGGTCACCAGATGTTCACAAACCAACGTTTCCTCTTCAGGTGTCTGCGCTTTCATCTCACTGGAGGTGATGCGTCAGTCGGTCAAACGCATGATTGAGAGCGAAGATACTATTTGGATTGAGTACTACTATGCCTGGTCCTTCGCATGTGCCTGTAGTGGGTTTGTCCTCCTCTTCATCACTGGCATCACACTCCTGGTCCTTTCCATGCCCCAGATGCCCAGGAATCCATGGGAGACGTGCATGGATGCTGAGCCAGAGCAGGTCGAGTGATGCGATAATGGGCCAACGCATTCGAGGATGAGTCCCGTGTTTTGTTTTGGGTTCAGATGTTGGATTTGGTTTAATAACAAGTGTTTTTCATCAAAGAAAATGTTAGGTAAGGGAAACCTTTTGCAGGTGTTTTTTGTGGCGGATTCTGTGTTTTTCTAGCCTGGCAAGCCAGACTAAATAAATGTATTATTTAGTCTGGCCATGCTCCATTGACGGCTCTCGGTTGTGGGGCGGGTTCTACCGTTGTCTTTCAAATGATCTCCGCGTTCCACTGGACAATGAATGTGACATACTCTTGTTTCACTCTGTTGCATCATCCCACCCACCAGGCATATAGAGTGCCCTGATTGGCCCACAAAGCGGATAAAGCTCTGTGATTTGTTCACTAAGCAGATAGAGCACTATGATTGGCCCACCATTATGGACCAATCACAGCTCTCTATAGGGGGTTTCAAACACATAAAGAGCTGTGATTGGCTAGCCAGAGTCCTGGTAGGAGCTGCTGAGGTTCCAATGGAGCATGCCTAGACCAAACTTTGCAAAGCAAGAATTTGGTCTAGTTCACTAGGCTAGTGTTTTTCATATTCTGAGTGACAAATGACATCCCATATCTGGCTGAACAGAAGTTAACCTTTATGCGTTCACAAGCTTAGGCTCCAGTGTGTTTTTTTCAAGGATTTCTTGCCCAAAACTTTCAACTAAAATTTTAAGTTAGATATAAGCATAGAAACACCAGGGTAACTGGGCTTTTCTACATCACATAACATGTTGTACAGAGATCATCAGTTTTTTCATGACAGCAGTCCGAAACCACTCACGTAAAAGGTCTAATTATCAAACCAGCTGTGGTTTAAAGAAAACTATTACAGATATAAAGCGTTATAGATTTTAGGGAAAGCAGTTGCTTAGTGCAGGTTGTGTGTGTGCCATCGAGGTGTGTGTGTGGGGCAGGCTGAATACTAAACACCCACACACACTCTGCAGCACCAAACATGTTGGAAGAGGTTCAGTTCTAGCAGGTGCACATACAAGGCCTTTGCTTTTAGTTTACAGCCTCCAAATCAAAAAAATGTGCATTTAAATGTGTATTTTGTGACCTTACTGAAGTATTTGTAATTAAAACTTAAAGGGTTACAAATTCAAACCAATAAATTCAGCTATTCTCACCCTTACTTTTCAAACTAGGAGAGCCTACCTGTTGTGATTAGAATGGAGAATACATGCATTAAAGAGGTCAGAGAAATGATGTGGGGTCAGCTTGGTTTAATCAAACTTTATACGTAACATACTTGAAAATTAGACACAGAAATAACACCTCTGCTGTTTTTATTACAAGAAACGGTTGTGATCGTGTGCATATAGTGAACTGTTATACTTTTTCTGTGCAGAACGGTGGTTTCAAGTCATTTGAGTCAGAACCAATCCTGTTCATGAGCTTGCTCAGGGTAAACGCTTTTGCTAGTGTAATTTTTATGATTTTACGATTTCATTGCTCTTAAAGGAATAGTTCAAGTAATTTCAAGTGGGTTTCTGTGGAAAGATTATGAAAAAAGAAATATCCTACCTGGTGTGTACAGCTCAAACCAGATTTTTTTTAGCAGATTGACAAGCTAATGGCTAGTCACAGTGGGTTTATCCAAGGAGAATTGTTGCAATGTAATGACAAACATGCCAAAAAAATTCACGGGGACTTACATAATGTCACTTCATGACCCCAACAACCATAACGAGGCCATGTTGTTGAAATTGCAAACACACAGGTCAATAAAGTCTATGGTATAAGAGCTTAGAATTAAACATTTATGTTCATGAAATGTATTTGTAACATTTGTGAGATTAGTTGTGTTAAAATTAGTAATCCACCTTGTAACCAGTTTGCTGATCAGAACTAATCTGTATTACTCCAATCAGAAGTGAAACCCAACTTTGAACCATCTCTTAACAATTTAAGCTGCTTTAATCTGCAAAACAAGCAAGCATTTAAACATAAACGGGCACAGAACTATCAACCCTCACTTCAGCTACCATCCCTAGGCCACGACCAGATACGGGAGTGTATATTGCCACGGTAAACGAGAGTGCTAAAAACCCGTCTTTTTCTACATCCAAACGTCTTTTGTTGTCCGTGATTTCAAAAGGCGTTTTTCTTTTTGGCACTCTGGTAGTTTGCCCTAAAGTTAAAGTGGTAGCAGCCGGCTGTTTCTCCTTCTCTGATATTACTCAATGAAGAACCCCTCACACTAGTGGTGTTCTGTTACAAAATGCACAAGTGCGTAATAAGTGGAGGTACCCAGGTACAGCTGATGAAGAAAAGGTTCGAAAAGGCAGACGACCGGATGGGCCAGTCGTTTCCTCATTGAGCCGTGTTATTGACTGAAAAACGACAGAACCACTTCATTTTTTCATATTTATAGCTATGGGCTACTTAGAACGCTGTTAAGAAGCATAAACATATATCTTTAAAATTAGCTTGTTTTGCAGATTTGTCATTGTGGCTTTTACTGTATAATTTACCAGTGAAGTTTAGACATACCAACCAGTTTGGGTGTTTACATCTTTCCCGGTACTTCATAACTAATCAAGACTAACATTTGTACCTTTGACATTATTTCTAGTTTGTTTTTCACTAAATTTGGCATGCAGTTGGGTTTTTGAATGTAGCTAAATCTGTGTTTGGTACATGCTACAACTTTGTAAAGAAAATAAAATCTTGAGCTTTAAACATTGAGCCTGGTCTGACTTTGATTCCATCTATGAGAAGAAGGTTCCAGCAGACCCAAGTGACTGCAACTGAAGCACAAAGGCTTCTATGTGCTGATGCGCTCTGCAGAGGATTTAAAAAAAAGGAAATGAACTCGAGCGGTTTCAATAAAAACACTTTAATAGAGAAACGATTAAAAAAAGAAAATAAACCTGTAAAACACAGCCTAGATCATTCAGTATAACAACCACCAACTGAAATAGTCATATTTTTTGTACCCACAAAGGGAAAAACCAGTGGGGCTGGGAAGCTGGGAGAACAGGTGTGCCATTCACTGCAGCAGGGGAAGAACAGAAGAGTGCCAACAGATAACAGGAAACGATGGTGTTTAGCAAAAGGGTGAACACGGTGCTCTCTGCTGGCTGGGCAAAAGGTTGCTCCCTACTGTCGTGTGCCACACCCAAGTTGCCAGTGACATATTAGTATTGCACAACTGTAGAGATTAGCCAATGACTGATTTGTTAATTTCCTAACACAATCACCAGGGAGCAACCTCAGCTTTAGCCCTTCTAAATAACTGCAGGAGGAAAGAGGGAACCTATATGAACATCACATCTTGTGATCGACATAGTAAAGTAGCGTAACTGTTGATATTGCCACAAGTTATTGTACACATCAAATGATATACAGAAATTAGACTCTGTGGGTTAAACAATATTTTTTTTTACCGTTTTCCATCAATAAATCAATACATAGTGATAAAAACGGGATAACAAAAACAGCCAGGCCATCTCAACATGCACTGAAAGACAAAACCAAACCAAGCATTAAAAATAAACCCATGTTGATTGTTGTACAGCTGTGGTGAGAGAACAAAGCCAAGAGAAATCCAGCGACTTGTTCTGACAAAGTATGTATAGTACAGTTAATTAAGTCATCTAACGGTGCAACATTTAACCCACCCGACAAGATGCTACCTTACAGGATTTATAAAGACGGTGCAACTACCAATCGGGTTGTCCATTTCTAGAACTCCTTATTTTTATTTGTGAATTTGCAAAAGGACATGCCTCTTCTTTTAACAGCTTCTACAAAAGTGAGGCGCTCCCAAAGTTCTCATTTGTAAATACATAGAAAATGCATATTTACAAGTACATGATCTTTGCTCAGTCAGGAGGGAAAAAATGAGTCAAAACTTGAAAACAAAACCAAACCTTTGATGCGTCTCTCAGCTGACTGTTCAATATTAATTTGAGTTTTACGGTGAATGAATGTGATTAGCATTATACGTATATCGCCTCCTAGATGGGGTTCATTCATAAAAGAGTTAAAATCACCTAAACCGTGTGACCTACTCGTCTGAGAACCAGGAAAGAAACCTGCGGAGTGAATTAAAACAAAACATCACCACTTTTGTATTTTCGGATTAAAAAAAAAAAAAGAACGTTGAAAACATTTAAATAAAACTGATTTATCAGCTGCAAAAACACAAGTTTAAAATCTGATCGGACTTTTAAAACGACCACAAGCATTCTTCTTCATATTTCAAGCTTAAAAGAATAAAAAATAAAACAAGCATACTAACAGTCAAAGGTTTTTGAGCAGATTAGGTGTTTTTTACGATAAAACCGAAAAAGATTAAGCTTAAAGGGACTGTAAGGAAGTTTGAAGATTTTATGCTCGCGATCGCCACTCAGGCCTAACGCGTAACTGCAGCTTCAAAAGTAAGCTCATGCATGAGGTGTGCACGCTGTACGTGCACACTCAACAAAAATAACAGCTGAGACAGTTCCGTGTGTGTGTGTGTGGCCCGGAGGACAGACGACAGGAGAACACGCAGCTAATTACTTAACTAGGTTCTGTACCTTTCTCTTCAGCACAGCCGACAAAAGTTTATGACGGGTCAGTCCTCCTGCATGCTCAGATCATTCCCTTCCCTTGCTTGAAAATTGTTCCAAAATGAAAGTTGAACCCACATCTTTTTATCCGTGAATTCAATGCCGTTCGACAAGTGTCAAATAAAAATGTGGGCGTCTTATTACTGTAAAAAATATATCATTAATATAAAAAAGAAACTCAAAATAACAAATTATGTCCACAACTGGAGTCGAACCCAGGTCTTCTGCATGAGAGTCAGATACCTTACTAGGTGAACTAAAGCACCAATGATGTTTGTCATCTGTAACATTTATATCCTTGATGACAGCTGAAACAACGTCAATCCAAAGAACGGCTTGGAGCGAAAATGGCTATTTTGTTGCTGATTTGCAGGAAATATCTAGAAGAAAGTTCTACAGAAAGTAGCTAAGGGTCCTCAGAAATGTTAGCCTGGCAAGCCAGACTAAATAAATGTTTTATTTAGTCTGGCCACGCTCCATTGACGGCTCTCGGTTGTGGGGCGGGTTCTACCGTTGTCTTTCAAATGATCTCCGCGTTCCACTGGACAATGAATGTGACATACTCTTGTTTCACTCTGTTGCATCATCCCACCCACCAGGCATATAGAGTGCCCTGATTGGCCCACAAAGCGGATAAAGCTCTGTTATTTGTTCACTAAGCAGATAGAGCACTATGATTGGCCCACCATTATGGACCAATCACAGCTCTTTATGTGTTTGAAACCCCTCTAGAGAGCTGTGATTGGCTAGCCAGAGTGCTGGTAGGAGCTGCTGAGGTTCCAATGGAGCATGCCTAGACCAAACTTTGCAAAGCAAGAATTTGGTCTAGTTCACTAGGCTACAGAAATGTAGCTAGGTTCATCACTAGGCGTTAGGAACCGTGACAAAGTCGCCGAGTTGGCACTACCTCACTCTCTGCTGATAACGCTACGGATAGCAAATGCTACGGGCGATGCCTGAGCGTGAACGCGCATGAAGCAGCCTGCTCGACCCGAGCAGCTCTCTTTTTCTGTGATTTTACAGAAAAACAGGCAATCACAGTAAAAAGGCCAGGGCTCATTCTACAGGACCAGGGCATTGCAGGAGAATGTGTGAAGAAGACATTTATTATTTCTATACATGTTTTGGCTGTCAAAACTTCCTTATAGTCCCTTTAATAAGTGTCTCAAGATAACGGAAACATTTTTCACTTAAATAAATGTCTTATTAAAACTGAAAAACTGCAAAAGATAAAACGTCTAAACAAAGCCTTATTGATCATTAAATATCAGTTCAACGTTACATTGTTACTCAGTTAATCAGATGCTTTTTATGGGGTTTGTCAAAGATCCTAAATTTTCTAATTTCGTGAAAAACGTACAGCAAGGGAAAGAATTTTAAAAAGGGCTCTTTTTCAATCCACTTCAAATACCGGATTGTACCAGATTGAATCACTCATTGGTTCAAACAGCACCCTTCTAAAGTAGCTAAAAGTATTAAGAGAACTTTTTTGCACTTTTGAGGTGATGGGAGATTTAAAATTCACGAGAAAAATGTGTTTGAGTAACTTAAATTTTTAATGTCTGCATAAAATGTACCAGAATATTTAAAATAAGATTTTACAATTAAAACAATACATCTATGACAAGAAATCCAAACATGTACATACATTTTCTTATTATAAAAATGTAAATTTTGGGGAAGAAAAGTATTTTTCACACAAATACCAATTTTTTTGCTTCAGTTTTCCATTCTTCGTCTGTTTTAGCATGCTCAAAAACATTTGACTGGAGGTAAATAACCCACGGTAATCACGACTCACAATGACCAAGCTTTCTCTTCACTTACGCAGACCTTCAGACCAAAAAAACTTTCAAAAATAATCCGCGGACCAACAGTTACTGAAATGATCAGATCTGATGCTCTGACAAACAAGCACCAGCAAAATAAAACATAACGGAACTATTCTGCTCAAACAAGCAGCGTGGTTCATCTGATCACAGAAAGCATCGTCTCGCGTTCTTAGAGCTTTAAAGCCGACAGAGAATGAAACACACGACCGATTCAGCGACAGTTTCACACTGAATCTAGTCTTCCCGATGACGTCTTGGTGAAAATTAAATGAAAACTGGAGTTGTTTTTTCTATAATCACATTTACCACTAAATTACCAAAGATTATTTTAAAGTAAGGATGACTAAAAGTTGAAAGGGGGCAGGAAAAAAAACTATTCATAATGCAAATACTAACATGATTTATGTGGTGTACAATTCAGTCTTTTTATTTTCTTTATCTGTACAGATTAGAGGAAAATTTATCTACTTCTATACACTGTTCTATGCTGTTGGTCGGTTGACCACTTAGCCGTTGTTACAAAAACACAGTATTATGAGCTGTTGATGTCTACTTGAAACTTGGAAAAAAAGCAAAAACAAGCATTTTTTTATATTTAAGAAAAAAATTCTTTTAAAAAAGCAGGAAGCTAAGTGGTCAGCCAAGTGTTACCTTTTTTTTTAGTTTTTATATTATTTTATTTATTTATTTTTAAGCATTACTTACATGTACAAGTGTAGATAATATAAGTATATATATTCATATATACATAGTGAGTATGTATATATATATACCAGTAATGCATTTGTTATATATACTGACTTTCTTCACAGATATGTCAAAGAAAAAACATTACCAACAAGAAGTCAAAGTGATTAAAAAATGCAGGAAAACAAACCTACTGGTAGAAACCAAATTATAAATGCACTTTACACACATTTTTTTTTTGTTTATTATTTTTTTACCATTTTTTGCTTGGATTTTATTATTTTATTTGATCACCTATTAAGTGGGAGAAGTGACACTCATTTAAAGTAGGAGTAGTATCCGTTGCTACCATTTGAACTTCCAATACTCAGCTCTTGAAGGAGGGAAAGAGGGTTACTATTCTTTTTGACCTGTTCAGGGCGAACAGCTCGGGGTTTCGGGGGAGCGCGGAGGGCGCTTGCGTATGACATGGTGGGGGCTTTGTTTAAATTTGGAGCCCCCTGGGTGGCCTCTGTTGGAGCCTGTGGTGGCGGTGGTGGCTGCTGCTGCTTTTTATTTGACATTAGAGGAGGAAACTGGTGCTGATGGGAGGTGATGCTGTGTGGATGGGTGGGCTGTGTGGCTGTGGGCTCAGCCTTCACCTGCTCATCAGTTTGACGGAGAACCTTGGACGCTGAAAAGTGGTTCAACCATTAGTAAGTTGGACAAATTAAACATGATTTAAAATAGCTTTACAATAACATAAAGCCAATTAACAGAAACTTACCCATAAGGTCGCGATGTTGAGCCAGAGCATTGGATCCGTTACATGGAATGTTCTGAAATTTACCAGGACCTGCACCATTACTGGGCCAGAGGTGGTCTTGTGGGAGATAGTTATAGGAGGGGTGTGGGTGCTGATGATGCTGCATATGAGAATGATCCTGGGGGTCTGACGGACAGGGCTGGGCATTGTGGGTGTTGGCTAGAGATGGTTCATCTGGGTAGCTGGAGGAAATGCGGCGCTGATAAAGAGGCCGGCCCGGACCTCGTGGTTCATACTGCACAAACACAAGTGGAGAAATGATGACACATTAAGTTAAATAATTAGATTCAAAAGAAATGACACAAGAAACTCAAAAGAGGTCTAACAACTGGAAATTGTTCTTTGAGCCTAGTTATTGCATATGAAAAATTATTGGGGCTCAAAATGGCCCAGGAGCCCTGAAAAACTGCCCAAAACGACATCGATATAAAGCCCTGCAATGGAAAGTCTGGTTTACCCCACCCACTCAGCCAGGTTATGAAAATGTAATGGGCGTGTGGGAATGTTGATCTGTCTGGCATTCATTCTGTCTGAATATTCACCGTGTATCTTGGAACATGAATGGTGTTCCAACATTATTTGTTACTTTCCTCTTTTTCGGCAAGGGTTTTTAGCAGTTTAGCTAGCTTGGACTAGCATTAGCTGTACATCAGACTACCATTGTTCTTCAGTAAGCATTGCTGTAACCAAAGCTAAATATTTTGCCAATATTGAAGTGGGATGGCAAATGAAAATTTAAGGCTGTGTGTCTAAGCTGATGTGTTAAACCAGATTTCCTCAAAACAAACTCTGTGGCCATTACTTTGTTGTTGTCGAATTTAGGCAACGTGAAGTGTCCGATATGCCAAAAAGTCTGTCTCCAACCTGCTTTCCTATGCTCATATCATGGTTCATTCTGGAAAAAAAAAAAGCTGGTATAACACGTCAAGTTGCATCCCAATCTATGCTAATGTCTACAATAACTAAACATGCTAGCCGAGGCTAGTGCTAACGCTAGCTCAAGAAACTCCTAATGCTTGCCCGAGCTACTGCTAACGTCATTGTTAGACAAGAAGAAAACAACAAAGAACAATGTTGGCACAAACAAGTAATATTCCAGGTTATTGGGACTATCTAGCCTGGCCAGCCATCCTATATATGTGAGCATATAGTCTGGCCACGACCCATAGACTCAGTCTTGGGATGGGATCTACAGTTGGCTTTAAAACTGAACAACATGACATACTCACCACTACAGATGTCAGTCAAAATGGAAGAAGATTCAGATACATCCTTTTTCTAAATAAAGGACTGAAGTACCTCTATCAGCTCTTGACTTAAAGAAAAGCCCAAGCCTAAAAAATCCAAATTCGAGGCCAAAGTCATTTCAAACAAGCCGTCGCCATCTTAGCTTTTCCACTCAGTTGCAGTAACATCCCGCAACCAAACCAATAAAGCACTGTGACTGGTAAGACACAAGATAGTTTGGGCAAACTGAGGTTCCAATAGAGCCTGGCTAGACTGATCTATAAAGCAATACCATTCTGCTATGATCTGTCTTAATTTCTAGGCTAGGGAGTATCCAGGCATTGAATGAATGCCAGAAATGTCCAGAGCTTGCTTATTGAGTTATTCGGATAAACGACTGTACAGAGTTTCTAGCTTCAGGGTTGAAGAACTTTTTTTATTTGACCGAATTTAAAAAAAACAGATCACTGTGCTAACTAGGTCAGCAGTTCTTACCTCATCTACACTGTGAAGGGTTGTAGTTGCTGATGATCTGGGGGACAGTGGGTGGTAGGGCTCTGGGTTAGGACCTGGATTTTGTTGGTGTGGCTGCTGTGGCAGGGGTTGTTGTAGCTGCTGTAGCTGCTGCTGTTGTTGATGCAGCTGCTGCTGTTGGTGCTGCTGCTGGTGATGCTGCATCAGAACCTGCTCCTGTCTGCTGGGGTGAGCCATGATGGGCAGTCCATAGAGAAGACCATGGCCCTGGTTCCCCAGCAAGTGGTTCTGCTGTGATGCAGATGCACCTCCACCATGGGGCCACTGAGCTTCTTGCAGAAGATATTTGACCTGGGAGGAAGGTGGGCTGCCAGAGTGAGCTGGTGGCTGATTTGGGTAGCTACCTGTATTGTACAGGGAGTTCCCCATGTGCTGTTGCTGCTGCAGAGCCTGATTGTTGAGAAGGTTTTCATTAAGGAGGTTGCGACTTGTATTGTGGGAGTAAAGTCCTGAAGGAAAGGGGCCAGCGTGATTGGACATGGCAACTAAAGAGGAAGAAGAGTCGTCTGAAGAGCGGCTCTGGGACTGTCGATACTGAAGGAGTCGAGATTGGGGTGGAGGTTGCATCTCTGTTGCTTCTCTGGCTTCTGGCTGATCCTGTGGGGGCACCTCTCTCAGGAGGCCTGGATACCTTGGAATTATAAAGTCATAGTGTAAAAATCAGTAAACGAAAAGAGTTCATCACAACAAAATGTCAGTGACACAAATCTGACATTAAGCTCGACGAAATTACATATTCTATTCTGATTTAATGATGTCATTTAGGGTTGTCACGGTAACCGGTATAAGGTAAACCCCGGTAAAAAAGTTGACAATAAAAATAACCGTCCAGTTTTTAAAAAACTAAATTATCTCGGTGGGTTTACCGTGGCCGCGGTTTCGGCGCGGTGACCCTTACCAGCCACCGTCGCTTCAGCTGAAGTTCCCGCGGCGTGCACACGCACTTTTTAGTTTGCAACGGCACCAAAACTTTGAAGCTGAAATAACGGCCGAAGGAGGAGACGGCAGCGCCCAGGACATCCATCAGCCCTCAAAGAAGACTAAATCGGAAGTATGGGCATATTTTGGATTTCTGAAAAATGCTGAGGGACAGTTAATAGAAGACTGCTATCCCGTTTGCAGAACATGCAGGAAACAAGTGTCTGCAAAAGGCAGCAACACTTCGAATCTAATGGCACATCTGCGTGACGATCACCCACGTCTCTACAGCCAGTGCAAGGTAAGTTAACATTAGCATTTTAGCTTAAATGCATGACGTGAGGACTTTTGGTTGAGGGAGAATGCAACGAGTCACTATATACTGCAGCCGCAGCGTCCTCTGCCAGCATTTAAACCGTGTCACGGACACCCTGTTGCTGGATGAAGCATCTTATTTGTTGATGATGAAGAGAAATATACGATTAGTTCCTTGTCATTGATTTGTTTACTTATTCAATGCCATTTATACTTGAACATTTGGATTTGATTACATAGTGTAGTAGTTATTTTAGTCATTTGTTTAAAGTGGCTATTTATTTTAAATACATGTTTTTTAAGGTTGACTTGTACAGTGCTCAAGTCAAGTGTGGACTGGAGTTTTAGATTTTCATTTTGATAATGAAGAAAACAAGTATATGAGAAAACAAGTGGTGTTTCTTTGATTTGTTTACATATTGTTTATGTTTTAAATGTTTGGATTTGTATCATTTAAACCTGCACTGACTACTGTAACATGTTCCAGAAAAAGAAGCTATTTGTTCCTTTACTTGTGAAAAGTTGCACTTTTGCTAAGGCTTTGTGTTATTTTAGGTTTAATAAACATGTTAAACCTTTTCAGAACTATTTCAGTTTGTGTAGAACAGGACTATCAATGCTTTCTGAACATATGCAACACCGTTTAAAAAATACCGCGATAATACCGAAAACCATGATAATTTTGGTCACAATAACCGTGAGGTTACATTTTCATACCGTGACAACCCTAATGTCATTACACAAAGGCTTTAATATGTATCAGACTGACCTGGCGAACGTCGGCCCCGTTGAGGCAGAAGGAACTGCTTCATCCTCCATACTGGCACTATGAGCCCAGGTTGCTGCTCGAAGGAGCTGAGGGGGAAATCGAGCCGTGCCAGATTGAGCAAGGTGGGCGAGCTGCTGGGGCAAAGGAAAGGCAACGTTTCCCTGAAGGTAAGGACCCGCTGCTTCCCCCCACTGGCCCAGTCTGGCTGCCTGCTGCTGGCTCATGGCTTCTAGAGCCAACGGACTGTGGACATCTGAAAGGGTAAGATATGATGGGTCAATGTTACAATCCTCAAAATGTAACATTTTCTATGTGAACGCTTTGAGTGAAAAATGAAGAAAAAGATGATGTGATCACGACAATGATCCACAGTTTTCTGATCCAGAGGAGGAAAATGGTCCAGGGCTGTGGTTTTTCTGGGCTTCCTTTGCAGAACGTGACCACTTATGACTGGCGTTAGGCATCAAACACCGATTGGAACCGGGACTAATTAAAGCCATCGTGCTAGGTGAGCAGCCTTTCTCTCTAGTGGACACCAAGTTCTGCCCACTAGGAGCCGCCATGCGTAATAAATAAATACATCTAATAACAAATCTCACAGCATTTACACATGCAACATGTTTTAGGCGTTTTCCTGCTCTAACTCGCCTGTTCAGCAACTCATCAACCTCTACAGAAGCCCGTTAATCACATGCGGATTTAAATCAGGTGTGTTGGAGCAGGGAAACAACTAAAACATGCTGCATAACGGCCCTTTGGAACCAGGAATGAAACCCCTGATTTGGACTGTTGAGAACTTTTAACGTTTTAAATCTGTTCGCAGCTACATGCACGTGTTTCAGTTGCTGCTGCAGCATGATGGTGCAGATTCTCAGCCATCATGGACATGATCATCTTTTAAGTTTTAATCCAAACAACCGGACTTTTCTGGTTATCTTGAAGATGTTTCACCTCAAATCCAAGAGGCTTCTTCAGTTCTAAACTAGGGGTTGTGTGTAGAAGGCTTAGAAGTTGTCTTATTATAACTACATAGAACACGTATGACCAACCCGTGTGACTGTTGTCTGTAGCAGAAAACCAAATCTGATCATCTTTAGACGCTTGATTTTAGAAAGTTCAAATAATAAAATTCATGGAAAAGTTCAAGCTGTTTAATCAAGTAAGACCTACGGTTAGCTAAGTTAGCTAGGTCTTTGGACCCTGCCTCTTGAAAGAATCCGAACTGAGAATTGTTAGGGACCGGAATCAAAATGAGGAATTGGAAAACTGGGCCTTTTTATGCAGTTAAATAATTCATTTATAAATAATTCTTTTTTTTTCTTTGCATCCTTCTGACTCTGTTGTCACTTTTTTTGGTTTGACCGGGATTATGAAACTAAATTAAACAGTCTGGGTTCGTGTTCAATATTTCATTTGACTTGAATCAGAAAACTCAAAGCACTTTTCTGAAAATACTTAAAATTAACAACCAAAAATCCCCCAAGGCATCGATGAATTCTTCTCCTAGCTAGCCATTCATTACATAACATTAACACTGGAAGTGTTGCTCCTCCTCTGAGATAATTGAAAACAAAACAAAGAAGGAAAAATGAGTTCCATCTTCGCTCTCATTATAAAGTTGACAATTAATCAAATGTGTTTTTAATCATCCCCGTCTTATTTCCTTATCGCATGAATTTAGGGATTTTAATGAAAAAGATGTAATGGAAAATACTGAAATAAAAGTTAGGTTCTATTTCCAGGGATTTTATTCATAATAGAAAAAAAAAGTATGTTGAAAAAGTTGAAGTTGGGTTTTAAAACATTCAAATTGTGTCGACTGTTAATTAGGGATGGGTACCTTTGACATTTGAATCGATCCAGTACTAATTCCCGGTACCTAGGAATCGATACCGGTACTTAACGGTACCAATTTTCGATACTTTTGAGTGTTTAATATTTTAATTCTCTTTTATAATTAAATATATAATTTTCTCAATATATAACAATATTTGATAAATATCACGATAAATAACATACAACTGTTTGTATTTTAACATCGTCCTTGTAGTTTTATAAGCTGATAATTAAACTGAAGCAAACACCTTTACTGTGAACTAAATTTACTGTGTATCTTCATTCCTTTTGCCGTCCTTTTTCATTTGATTTTTCCTACTGGGAAGTTAGAATTTCTGAGGAGAAAGCGAACGCACCATTAGATGATAACAACGGTGGCATATGAAGCTAACATATCAAGCTAACGTTATCTTAAACAGTTTATTTAGCTGCTGGAGCAGATTAAAACGATGATGCCTCACACTTAGATCGTTGTCGCTGGTTTCATCTTCACCCAATCACCCGTCACATTTAGTAAAGTGAAGCCAAACTTTAGAGCGCGTTCATGTTCTTCTAGTCGGAAATTCAGAGTTCCGAGGAGAAAGCGAACGCACCATTAGCGAAACGGAAGCTAACATATCAAGCTAACGTTATCTTAAACATTTTATTTACCTACCGGAGCAGATTAAGATGAGGATGTCTCACTTAGATCGTTGTCGCTGGTTTCATCATCACCCAGTTACCCATCACATTTAGTGAAGTGGACCCAAGCTTTAGCGTGCGTTCTTTCTACCATGCTGCTCTGTTTACAACTCGCTCGCAGCGACCGATGACATAACGCTCTTGCGCATGCGCAGCTGTCTTGGCAAGCTCTCGTTATGAAGGACGGGTACCGAAACGAGGCACCGTTTGAAATGACGTGAATCGGTGCTCGGACAGTACTATGGAATTTGGTCGGTACCTTAAAAAGTACCAAATTCGGTACACATCCCTATTGTTAATCATTAATTAGTTAATATTCTAGAAGTATGACTTATTTCATGATTTAGTTTCTTACTCACCCATACCATCTCCAAGACTTCCATCCTGTCCATCCTCACCAAAGTTGCCGGCTCTGTTGTGTTGCTGTGGCAGACCCGGATGATGCCCCGCAGCGTGGCCCATTGAAGTCCTAATGGAGCTTTTCATGTCCTCCACACCACCGGGCTCTGCCCTATCCGCGGTGGGCGACTGCACAGATCTGTGGGGGGGTATGGAGCCACTGAAGAAGGAAGCGTGGTTTCCACCAGCAAAGGCGGGGCTGAGCTGTTGCTGCTGACTCTGTTGGGTCATTCCTGGATGCTGGGGCTGGTTGACCCAATAAGGAAGTTTAGAAACGGGGTACTGTTGGGGGAAAGTTCTTCCACCAGCAGGATGTGGAGGAAACGCTGGATTGGGTGGTGCCAGGTGGTAGTTGAGGGATCTTTGGGTAGCTGAAGGATCTTTACGATGGAGGAGAACATTGGGAAAACCAACGACACCCTCGGTTTGGGGCTCTAAAGTTCGAATTTGGCCTGTGTCTAGATCTCCCTGTAGGGAAAAGGAAACAAAAGAAAATTACAATTATAATTTGGTTTTTATGCAGATAAAGAGCTTTTGATCAACAGAATCTAAAACATCAACTTGCCTGTTTTTCCCTTATGTCTGCGTTTTTCCTCTCTGGCGTTTGTAGACGGTTTTGTTCAGACTTTGGACATCCTTCTACTTTACCTAAAACGTGTCAATAAAAGACATCGTCAAACAAAGCTGTCTAAAGTGTTCCTTAATTTGTGAAGTGTAGCGAACCATTTGATATTGAAATTAAAATAAAGGCACACCATTTCTGACGGAGTCAGCCTGTAGCTCCTTCTCAGGGCTGGGCTGGCCCATTCCTAATGGGGAGGGGTGTGTCACCGCGCTGTATGGGACGGGGGAGCCTTGGTTCTGCGGCTGCAGCAGATTTAAGTTGTAGGCCATGGCTGCAGGGTGGTTCATGATGCGAGGATCCACAGCAAAGCGGTTCTGGTAACCAGGCCAGGGCAGCTTGGGACAAAAAATGACTTCTCACTAAAATTTCTCACGATGAAAACAGATATTTTCCATCAAAAGAACACGTCACTGGCACACGTTAAAAGAAGGATGTCACTCACTGGCAGAGGCATGGACATTACCATATTTCCTCCGTAAACGGCTGGAACATAGAGAATACTGGCGCCTGTTTGTGGATCGATCCTCTGAACGGGACTCGGTGACTTCCCTATTCCAGCCGGTGTACCGCCCAGAGGGGGTGTGAACGCTCGAATTGGGTTTCCCATCAACACAGCAGAGTTGGACTGAACTGCAATCAGAGAAACACAAGTGGTGATAGAACCTACTGCTGCAGCTCAGATTGTCTGGATTAAACCAGAATTGTGTTTTAGATTGAAGTGCAGATTTTCACCCTTTCACTTCTGATGCTTTCTGACTAATGAAATCTACATTTAAATGGGTTCCAGATGCCTGTGATTATTCAACTGCAAGTAGAGATCAACCAATATGGGTTCTTCTATTGATCATAACAATGATTAGAGGCAGGAGGATGTAGCCTAGGAACCTCCGGCATCTAATAAAAACAATCATTATCACACATATAACGACATCAACAACTCATCGGGGGTTTTCAAGGGTAGTTTAAACTCATTTAGCAACAACAGATACAGTTTATAAGCTTGACTCGCCCATATTCCAGTCAGCATTGACAAAACTCAATTCAATTCAGTTCAAGTTTATTTACGTAGCGCCAAATAACGACAAGAGTCGTCTCAAGGCACTTCACATAGTAAACATTCCAATACAGGTCAGTTCATTAGCCAATCAGAAAAAAGTTTCCTACAGAGGAACACAGCCAATTGGAACAAGTTACTGACTGGTGTCAGTGATTTGTTGGCTGGTGTCACTGTAACGTGCCAGTGACTTTACGCAGACTTAACTCCTCAGATGAGTAGCAAAACAACTTCAAGAAACCAAAGAGGTCCAGTTGCCTACATTTGATCCCTTTTGGATTACCTGGATGTCTACGAACCTTCACCAGCATTTGCTCTACTCGGTATTGAAATCAAACATTGACCCAAAGTTAACAAAACTAATCAGGTATTACATATAAAACAAGTAGATAAAACAGAATTTCAGTTGACGATGCTTTAGAGCATTTTGAAGCAGTGGTTTTTCAGGAGCTTAAAATATGTTTAACTCGTTAACTGCCCATGATGACAAAAGTCGTCATTAGCATTTTTTTTTTACTGTGTGGGCGTCGGAACGAGCCCCCGCACCGAGAACAAACATCCTACCTCTAAAGCCAATCTTCATCCACATACATCACACGTCATGTGACCAGGAAGCAGAAAATCAAAGTGTTAGGAGATCGTTTTGGGCCGCTGCTGTAAAAAAAGTGAGGCGCGAACCAGAAGAGCTTCTGCCGGTCACAATTCAACAACAGATTATGAAAGAACGGATAATGTTCGAAACGCACGGATTCTTCCTGACGTAAGAGGCGAGTCTACTCTTTGTTTTGTTAGTTTTGGTGTTGACATCATATTAGCGCGCAACACTCTAGGACTCTTAAAAAACAGTGAAACCACTGAAAAACGCTGGCAGCAAAAGGCTTTTCTGATCAGGAAATGGCTGACAGTGACTGAGTTAAAGTAAAATCTACAGCAGCACTAGGCTGTCCGCGGATGTGCCCGACTTCATCATGAACCAAATTAGTTGGTTTGCATTTGCATTTTATTTGCAATATTTCAGACACCTAATTTATTTTATTATTGAACACATTCAACAGCTGAAACGATGGACGTTGAACTGCACTCACCATATCCGTCAGGTGGGAGGTGCTCTGTGTGATTTGCATGTTTCCCCTGTAGGAAAAAGAGAGTCATGAAACCATGGTAAAGCCTTCAAGGCCAAGCTGCAAAATATGTCAGCAGGCAGTGGAGAGTTGAAGGAGGACGGGTTAAAAAGAAGAAGCTGCTTAAGATTGTACCACAAGACAAAAACAGGGAACAAATAGTGATCCATAGTTTTTCATTTCTGTGCAGAGTGAAGCTAATATAAACAGTTTATTTATGTTGTGCAAATATTTTGTAATTCATCGTTGAAGCTTCAACATTAAAGATCAGATTTAATTAGGGCTGCTCGATTAATCGAATTTTAATCCCAATTACGATCCGAGTTTTGAACGATTATAAAAACAAAACAAGCCGATTATTTGCTCCTCCCACTTGCGCTGCCTGAGTTGCAAATGAAGCGCTCCTCCCTTGTTGCCAACTTAGCGACTTTGACGCTATTTCTAACAGCTTTTCAGACCCCCTTCTTGACTTTTTAAATCTTAAAAGTACCTAGCGAACACGTCAGAATCATCTCTGGTAACCCTTAGCTACTTTCTGGATGACTGTCGTTGACATGTCCTGCAGGTTAGCTAAACACTCCGCCTGCGCTCCGGACCGTTCTTCAGGACATTAGGAAAGGGAATGATGTAGTGATGTGTCAGTCGCTAAAGAAACGGCTCTCAGAGCCGGCTCCCTGTTGGATTAACCAGAGTGAGTACCTGCGGGCTCCTGAGCCGCTAAAACGGCTAAATGTGCGCGTGCGGCGTGCTAAACACACGAGCAGCTTGCCCCTGATTGCTGTGAGACCGGGTTTGGGGGGTGGGGGGTGCAGCTGTGGTCGGGACAATTATTACATTAACTGATGGACTTGTAAATAAATAGTTTATAAATAAGGTAGAAATAAGTTCCTCACGCTGATAAATAATGACTAACCTCTCTGAGGACATGGTGCTAGTGCACGCTCCTACAGCACCCTGACACGACTAAATAAATGTTATGCAACATTTTGTGAACATCAATTTATTTGCATTTATTTGTTATAAATGCCACTGTATAATTCTTGCTGTCAGTATTTGCCAGATATTGGTATTCGGGTCTGTACTGGTTAGACTTAAATGAGTTAAACCAAGGTCTATAGCCCTTGGGTCATAGCTATAAGTATATTGGTCTTTTTATACTGGGAATCAGGAGTTATTTTAGTGATCATCTTGTTTCTTATTTATTTTTGTCCTGATTGTGCCCTGAGCAATTTTATGACAGAATAAAAACAAATAAAATCACCATGAATTGAAAAATCGTCTTAAATAATCGAGATCTCAATTTCAGTCACAATAATCGTGATTATTATTTTTGCCATAATCGAGCAGCCCTAGATTTAATTTATGACTGACAACTTAAGAGATTTTTTTTTTAACAAAAGCAACGAGAAGTCAATCACAAAAAGACGTGTAAAGAGTAGAGACTGATCAGTTAAAGTTGATCCATATCAGTGTGACCTTTAAATCAGCACACAGATAGAAATGATCCGCTGCACCGGTGAGCGGCGTGGTGTCAGTGTGCAGAGAACAGAGCGGAAGTGCGTGTTTATCTCTAAAGCTGGCTGGCGGAGCTGGGGCTCATTAGGCCCAGTGGGTGATGGCAGCAGGTTGGCAGCTCTGCTGATTTGGTTAACCTTTACACAGGGCAGGCAGAACACGAACACACACACACGGACACCACACACACACACACACACACACACACAAAGGCAATTTAAACTCAGCTAAACAATCTAATGAGAGAAACCCACAACTTTAATTTCCTTTTCTTTCTTTTTCATTTGCTTCCAAGGGCAGAAACCGCTAATCATAAAATAATTTCCTGTGGTGAAAATTAAACCTACTCAACTGGATAGATTTGTCATTTGTTCCAACCTTCTGGAGGTTTTGTTGTTTCTTTTTCTCCTTTTATAAAATAAACAGAAAGAAAGAAGTTACTTCATGATTCATTTGAACCATTTCAATGAACCAGGAAGTAGAGCAGGTTGTCCAGTAATTAGAAGGTTGCAGGTTCGATCCCAGCTCCGGACAGAGAATGCTGCTGTTGTGTCCTTGGGCAAGACACTTAACCCACCTTGACAACTGGTGGTGGGCGGGTGTATGGCAGTCTCATTTCTGTCAGTGTGCCCCAGGGCAGCTATGGCTTCATCATAGCTCATCATCACCAGCGTGTGAATGGATGGGTGACTGATTGTGTTGTGAAGCGCCTCGGGGAGCTGTAGATCCCTAAGAAGGCGCTATACAAATACAGGCCATTTACTGTTTAACCACAGAGGTAACAAAACATGAGCACAGCAGCTAGGGCCAAACGGTTTAAAGAAAAGATTGAATTTGGATTTCACCTGGATGTTTTTCTAACAAAAACACAAAAACTGACACTTTTCACGTGCATACTTTGATTTACTTTTCTCCCCAATAGTGTGCGCCTTCAAAAACATTCAAACGGGAAGAGAAGTTGTGTTTATAAGTCCACATACTCATAAAATGGCCTGTATTTATATAGCACCTTAGGATTCCACAACCCCCCAAGGCTCTTCACAACACAATGTCATTCACTCATTCCCACACTGGTGATGATGAGCTACAATGTAGCCACAGCTGTCCTGGGGCACATTGACAGAGGCAAGGCCTGCCATACACTGGCGCCACCAGCAGCATTCTCTGGTGGAAGACAAATATCGTCACCAATCCAGGTGTAAACATTGATGCACTAATTAACGCGGTCCACTTTTTCCATCGGAGACGCTTGGCTAAGATCAAGCCCTTGTTGTCTATGGAGCACCTACAGTTAATCATTCATGCCTTAGTCCTGTCCAGACTCGACTATTGTAATGTTCTGTATGCCGGTCGGGGCGTGATTGCTCGCCTACAGCTGGTTCAGAACTCAGCTGCTAGGTTTCTGACTGACACGAAGCGTTGTGAACATATTACACCGGTGTTGGAAGAACTTCACTGGCTTCCCATGCAGTACAGAGCAAAGTGCTGATGCTTGCTTATAGGGCTCTTCAAGGTACTGCTCTTACTTATCTATTGGCTTTGCTACAAAGGAATGTCTCCACCCGCTTTCTTCGCTCAGCTGACCAGGATTTACTGGTGATCCTTCGCTCCAGGTGCAGATCGAGGGGAGATCGTGCATTTGCAGTTTTGCCACCAATTTTGTGGAACATCTCCCTATGACTGTTGGGCAAGATTTCCAGACTTGCCATTATGATATTATTTGCTCTTAGTGCTGCACATCAAACTAAATTAAACCATTCCTGGAGCAGGAGATACAACATCTGTTGGAGAAACCAACCTTGGCATGACACTGATCAAGTACAACTTCTGTTTATTTCTGTTGGATGTAAATTTGTTGTCTTTCCATTTATTTTGTTGCATTGTGACTTTTGTGTTTTGTTGAACCATACGAGTCACTGTAATTCAGAGACTGACTTTTAAAAACACAAAACATGTCCTTGGTGAAAGAATAAAAAAGCAAAGAAAAGCAGAAAACATTTTCTTGCACCCATTTTAGACACATTACCTTGGGAGGAGACTGCTGCTGTGGACCCTGCTTGTTCGAGGTAGGCTGTACATGTTGCGGATGTGGGTGATGGTGAGGATGGAGGTTCTGTGAAGACGACTGCAGGGGCCTGAGGGCACGGGGGATGAACTCTGGGGCCAACGGGTTCAGGACATAAGTCTTCTTGAGCTCTAGAGCCTCCAGCTGAGCCTTGATCTGCTCAAAGGTGATACCATGGAGGCTGGAGTTTTCATGGCAAATGGAAATAAAGTGCTCCCAGAATTTCCTGAAAGGCAGCAAAAGCAGGAAACATTCATGTTTTCCTGGTAGTGATGTAAAAACTCCTTTTTCTGAGCGCTGAGTAGAAAAAACGTATTTTGATTATTCCAAACAGCCTTGACAACATCTTTATAAGACTTTCAAAAAAAATCTCACAAGATCAGGAGCTACAGAAGAACAAGCTGCTTTTCTTTTCCAAATGGTGTCAAAACACAAAGAGGAGACAGGGACTTCAGATGAACCTTTAGCTGCCCGTTAACAGTCTGTAGCTACTTCCTACGGATATAATATTAAGTTCAGATGCATTACTGAGCTAGACCTTTGATTCCTGGAGTCTTGTGTAAACCATATCAACACTCATCTTCAGCACATCAATTAGACTGGTTTCTGACGGACAGGCTGACATTAGAAATCAGACGAATTGTGAAATCCTTGACATGCGTCAGCAAGTACCGACAATAGTCAGTGATCACAGATATGGTCTTGATGGTGGGCTATAAAAAACCAGAAATGGATCAAGTGTAACCCGCTAGTGGTTTTAGTTCTATGCATGTGGAATGGCAGTTACTTTTTAAATTCTGAGTTTACCTGCAGCGACCAACAGAACACAGAGCTATGGGGTCTCCCACGACTGCAACCAGCGACTGAGCTCTGGTGATGGCTGTGTTCAGCAGCTTGTAGTTGGACAGGAAACCGTAGTCCAGGTCCTCGGTCGAGTCCTCCACCAGCTGCTCTTTACGTTTGATGGCTGTCTGCTTGTGCTTACAAGTGTGTCGTGTCCTCACGGTACTGAGGAAGAGAACCCGGAACTGTTTGCCTGCAAAACGATAAATTAGCATTTTTGTTATTAAGACGTGTCAAATCAATCACACAGAAACATGCAGGTCTATTAAGGCAAGGCAGCTTTACTTGTATAGCACATTTCAAACACAAATTTAAAGTTCAATACTAAAAAGATTTTAACACTTTAAGCTATTGCTTTCAAACTGGTTTAAGTGGTTTTTGAGCCACAAACTTGAGCAACATCATATGGGACAGCAATCTGCTGACTGCACTTGACAGATTTGTGGTTCCGGAAGGACCATTAATGGGAGGACTCTACCAGCTTTAAAGCAATTGAAGTTTACTCTGCCGGAAGCTAACATAAAGGCTAGCAGTTAGCTTTTTCTGTTCACCGACCATCAAGAAGCACAGAATGAAGTAGAAGTTTGCTTTTTTTATTTGCATCATAGCGGAGCCAGGAACTAAAAGGAGAGTAGGAGAGCAATGTTTTTGGAGGTGAAGTAAAGAGCTAAAACCAGTCTGAACATTAGCGTGGCCTACACTCATTTTAGGGGCTGGTCATGACCTGGTATTTTTGTTTCTGGACTTGTAATACTTTTTTGGTCCAACAATGTGGGTCTTTTTACCTCGTGGCTTCTTTTTGTATCAGTTGTGTTAGCATTAGCTTGTTGCTAGCGCTAACTACAGCAGGCTACAGAAGGGTCGTTTGCTACATTTGTAATTCAGTTTTCAACCAGTAGGAGGGAAAAATGGGAACTTATTTAGTGTTGATTAAAAACCCGATTGAACATTTGGTTGTAGCAGCTAGCAGAGTCACACGAATAAAATGCATTTATTTGAACTTGGGCTTAATAAATACAGATGAGACTAAAGACTAGTTCACAAAAAGAAAAGAACTAAAATTAATAAGTCTTTATCTTTGATGAATATCATCACATTTTAGACTTGATCAATCAAACATGCATCAATTTCTTCAAAAACGTTCTGCACCGTAAATAAAAAAAAAATATATAAGTTTATTTTAATAAACTCATCAAACAAAAGGTTGATGACAGGACAGAAACATTTTGCACAAGTATTCTATAAAAAACCTCATCACTAACTAGAAAACAGCTCAACATTCAGCGTGCAGACTTTAGACATGGCAGCTTTATTTGAATTCAACATTTTATACGTAGAGGCAATTCTGTGTGCTTTCCAGGAGCAAGAACTGCAAAATCAACGCAATGGCATTATTAAACACACAAATAATCTTAGATCAAATTAAATTCAGATTTAAGAATCAGAAAAAAGGCCAAATTAAAGGGTGAGCAGTTACAGTGCAGAATGTGCAGCATAAGAAACATTTTTTTCTAAGGCTGCTGAATGCATGAAGTTTTCCATTTTGATTCAAAAGTTACTAAAGTTGGGGAACATTTGATCAGTCATGAGGAAGCGGACTCCATCTGTGTGCAGCATAGTAGCTAAAACATTAATTTTAAATTTCTTGTGTGGTTAATGAGGGGGTTAATTGCATGTAGAAAGCAGAAGGGTGCAACAAGAGTGGGAGCAGAAACCCTTACAGCATGCTTTTTGGTTTTAATTAGGGATGTTCCGATCACGTTTTTTGCTCTTGATTCGATTCAGAGTCATTTGATTTTGAGTATCTGCCGATAAAGAGTCCCAATCCGATACTTTTCAGCAAAGCATTAAAATAAGAACAAAATCTATCCAAGTTTAAGTGCGTCTTTCATTTGTTTGGGAAGTACTTTTCCCTGCTTAACACCTGTAGCTACCACACAGCTCTGGTGCAGCAGGAAAAAAACACGACGTTTTGTAGTTTGCTGGCAATTTCTCTGCTTATTAGCATATCTTTCTCTGTCGGCTATCTCCGCCTTTTAGTCTGAGTTTGCTGTGAACTGGGACTGGGAATTAATGGAGACCGGCAATTCTGTTTGGCTGTTTTTACAAAACAATGCCGTCAATTTGCCGCAACGCCGTGGCGAATTCAGGGACCCTTAGGTCGTTTATAAGTGGTCAGACTGTGACGGTAAAGTGGAGCAATCCTTTCTTTTTTATAAAAGATTAGGCAATAGCAGCATAAAGGGGGTATGAGGGCGGTCTCTGTGATGTCGCGGACTTGCGTTTATCTTGAACATAACTTGCTTTTTATTGTGATTGAAACCACGATCGTTACGTTTTTAGCAAGCTGCTCCTGAAGGTGTCAGTCTATATGACAAAGAAAGTAGATTCTCATAACTTTCAAATAACCATTCTTTGAATAATTATGCTTTAATAAACATAAAAACTTGTAAATCAGTGTAAAGCGATGTTTATTATTAAGAAGCAGCTTTCTCACCTTGTACGTTGAGCACTCTTTCAACGCTGACCTCAGGCATTCTTTTCTTTCGAAGCTCAGCTCGGATACGGAAAACCTGATCAGCGTACGGTGACACCACTCCGATGCTCCCCTCGTCCAGCTTACCCCAGGAAACTGGCCACTTCTTGCGCAACTCTTCCACCCGCTCCACAATTTCAAACACCTGGAAAGTAAAGTAGGAGATCCTAAATTATGGTTTTATAATTCATGGTTTCTGACTTTAAAAAGGGTGAGTCCAGTTAATAATTGAGCTACATGATACCCAGAACAGGGTCTCAACAGCAGCAGATTTCTGCCCTTTAAAGCTACGGAAACATTGAAGGTGTGTGCAAACTACGTATAACAGAGATGGTTCGTTATGCAAGGAATGCAAAATCATATTGCATCAGACCCGAGATTGTTCCAACAAAGATGTGTTTATAAATAACATAAATAGCATAAATAACAGGGATTTACAGAAATCATCATGAGTTGGTTTAAAAGGTGGGAAATAGCTCTTTTATAGGTTCTGTTTCCCCACACGCTTCCTGATTCTCCAAACTCAAGTATTCCTGACTTCTTTGTATGACAGCTAAGATGCTAACAACCCAGATAAAAATGAAATTTACATAAATCAGTAATTTCTTCAAGATCAGCTTCTAATCACACAGACATTCAGAATCAGTAATATTATATTTATGCCCCACAAATAAAACTAAACGAGCCTTAAAACAGCGGTTCAAACTACGGTAGATTTCCTGCTGAGAGTTTCAGTATTTAGTGCATCTGAACATTTTATGGCTTATTTAATCCAACTAATGTGGCTTTTGACAATTCAGATGTAGTATTTGAGAATTCTGAACCAATAAAACGAAAAAAAAAATCGACTTATTCCAAGAGCAAACTGAAAAGCACGTGCATGTTTTAAACTGCCTGAATCATTAAAAGTTTTACAAAGAAACCTTAAACAAGTGTTAAACCGGCAACCCCTGACCTAGGAGACGATACCAATCCTCTTAAGAGTTTTATGGCTGATTTACTGATAATTTTACTGTAATAACACATTAAAAAACTTCAAAGGGATGAGATACTAAGCTGTAAATAATTTAGGTTGATGTGCACAAGGGTGTTTACTGGCAAAGGTCACAACTGCTACCAGGATAGCCAAGTTAGCTTTGTGTTACAGCATTGAGTCATTTAGTTGAACTAAAGTTTTAATAATGTTATATATATATATATATATATATATATACACACATATATATATATACATATATATATACCATATTTTCACGACCATAAGGCACACCTAAAAGTCAAATTTTCTCCAAAATGTACTCGGCGCCCTATGGTGCGGTGTGCCTATTGTGTTGTTGTGAGACGCGAACGTAGTAGAAGACAAGAGGCGTGGTATGAACGTGCGGACGTGAGCGAAGACAGAACTGTGGATCTGCCACATCGTCATCCTCGCTATTTGCCTCAGACTCCTAGCCTGGCAAGCCAGACTAAATAAATGTATTATTTAACAAACAAACTTTGCAAAGCAAGAATTTGGTCTAGTTCACTAGGCTATCAGACTCTGGCTGTGAGTCTCCGTCCACTTCCTCTGCTTCCAGTTCAAAAAACAGCTGTACTAGCTGACCTGCCTGGTGGACATTTATCCTTCTCATCATCCTTTATTAAAGCCTAATAAAAGCCTACTAAACTGCAGCGACAATATATCTGTCCGGATCGCTCCAAAATATGAAGTTTACCGTCAAAATATGTCTAATTGTTTGTTGTTACTCCGTTCGCGCCACTCCTTTCCCCGCGAAGCGGCTTTTTTTTGCGCACATCTCGTTACTCGTGCAGCCTTCCTCTCTCTCTCAGCTACATAATGATGCTTTTTATCAGCTGAATATGTGAGACGTCCACCAACAGCAAAAGGATCTCATGTTTTTGTGGGGTTTTATGTTCACAAGCACATTCCCTCTCACGGATTACTTAACAGCTGTTTTGACAAGTTATCAGATTGGCTAAAAATAGGTCGTTTTTTAGTTTAGTATAACTCCGCGTTTACGTTGCCTATTAACAAAATTTAAAAACTGGGGTGTAGTTTATAATCTCCTTTTTAAAGCTGAATTGAAACCGAAACTCAGGGAGGCGGAGTCTTGCTGCTACAGCGTCCCAAATCAGACCTGTTCAAAGGACGCGGATATGCGTTTGCCGCATGGACCCCAGACGGTTAATAAAACAGAATTAAAATCACACTATTTTCTTAGGCCTATTAATAACACACATATGATTTTGTTCATGTGGAAAGTTTATGTGGTTAAATCCACCAACTACCGGTAAACACATTCTGAACTTCAGCACAGCGCATCAGCGCTTGAAGCGGCGCTGCGACCCAAAAAGTACCAGAACCGCTCACGGCGCATGCGCTATCATGCATCAACGCCGCTCGCCCGCTATTTCCTTAATAACACACGCTGTTCGTTTTTATTTCTACACGTTTTTTTTACTCACAAAGATTGTCAAGAAAGCGTGCTTGTCGTGTTCGTGTCAAATTAAACTGATCACAAAACACAGATTTACTTTCTTTATTTCGTTTTCCTCATCCAACCCCCATAAATCCCTGTGTGTCCTCCTGCAGCACTCCCGGTGTACACCCAGCTTTAGTAAGAGGGAGACCCGCGATTATCACGCATGTCTCATTGAAAATGAATGGAGGAGAGGCGAAGTTGCCTCCCGTGTGTCGAGCCCATTAGAAGAGCACGAGCCGTCAGCGCACGCAATGAGGAAGTGCACGTGCGCTCTAAACCAGGTCTGAAACAGGACTAGACCAGTAAAGTGAAGCATGCTTTTGGCTGTTTACAGTTTTCACAATGTCTGGTTTGCACTGATATGTTCCGAGTCCCGAGCCCGCACAGATGTTTTACCGGTACGTTTTACCGTGCCCGTGCCCTATAACCCGGTGCGCCTTTTGTACGTGTTAAATACCAAAAAGACACCCATAACTGAAGCTGCATCCTATAACACGGTGCGCCCTATGGTCATGAAAATACGGTATATATATATATATATATATATTATATTTTAACCCTTAAGGACCCATGGTGACACTGGTGTCACAGCCCATTTCAAACATCTGCAAATTAGCTTCTTGAGTCAAGTATTAAAGTTTGAAAACTCCAAGCGACATTCTATCCATACATATATCAAAAATTATTTAACTTCTTTAATTTGTCATGTTCCCCCTACATTTTGATTTATTTACTCCAATCTGTTTTCTATTTCTAAAGGGTTTGGGTTCTAAACGTAAAATCCATGCAGACGTTTAATAACAAATGTAATGATTGTTGTGAAATTTGAAGGGAACGCCGAGTGACTTAAGTGGAGAGTTTAGCTCATTTGTTGCCCAGAGGCATAAAATTTTGATCAACTTAAAGACAGAATAGTAAAATAGTTTTTGAAGGAAAAAAACAACAACAAAGAAAACATTTGATACATTAAAGAAATGAACATTTAGGTTAGCATTCACGATTCTTGTAGCACCCAGCCTTCGTCTTCATTTAAACTAGAGATATGGTTTTTTTTAAGGCCGATGCCGATTTTTAAAGAAATTTATTAAAGCCGATATATACGTTTTAGCAGCACATTGCGAAAGGCAACTGAACACTCACTGTGTGCAATAAAATGAAATAAGTCAATAAATCTCTTAATATTTATTGAATTTCAAATATAAAACAAACTCAAAACATTAAAAAAAAAAGGTGTTGGGGTCCTTCGGGTCGTCTCTTCAGTCTAGTAGTGTGGCAGTTGGCCACACAGGTGCCTAGCTTTTTAAAAGTTTTTTTATAGGCTTTAAAAAAAAATAATTTCGGCTGATGGCCGATATAGAAAAAATTGAATATATCGTCCGGCCTCTAATTTAAACACAAGTAAAACTAAGTTCATAATCTTCAACCGGAACTTACCGCAATCAACTTGTACCCTGGTATTGTTTCCCTGGATGGTACAGAACTACAGCCTGTCAGTTCTTATAAGTATCTGGTCACGAATTGGGTTTCTATACTGCAACAGGTCATCCTTTACTCATTCTGCAAAGTAAACTTTGGTCAAAAGGACAATCCTTCCCATCTTAGAGTTCAGCGACATCATTTACAGGACTGCTTCCAAAAATCTTCATAAACTTGATGTCATTTATCACTCAGTAATCCGTTTCACCACTGGTGCCCCTTTCACTACTCATCATTGTGATCTGTACTCACTTGTTAACTCATTCACTGCCAATGACGACTAAAGTCGTCATTTGCATTTTTTTTACTGTTTAAGAATCGGAACGAGCCCCCCGTGCTGAGAGAACAAACACCTCAGCCCTGAAGCCGATCTTCATCCGTATATGTCACAGATCACATGATTAGGAAGCAACACATCCATGTGTTTGGAGATCGTTTTGGGCTGTTCCTGTAAAAAAAAGTGAGGCGTGAACCGGAAAAGCGTCTGCCGATCACAATTCGACAACGGATTATGACAGAACGGATAACGCTCGAAACACGCGGCTTCTTCCTGATGTAAGAGGTGAGTCTCCTCTTTGTTTTGGTTGTTTTGGCATCGACATCATGCTAGCGCACAACGTTCTGTGACTCTTAAAAAACAGTAAAAACGGTGAGAATCGCTGGCAGCGAAGGCCGTTAGTGATCAGGAAACGGCTGGCAGTGAATGAGTTAACTGGCCATCACTTCATTCCTGCAGGTTGTTATATTGGTATCAGTTCATATACAAAACAATCATCGGTAGAACACCGTCATATCTTCACTCATTACTCATCACTCCCAACAACCAGCAGAATTTACGTTCCAGTAACTTAATGTCTATGGTTATTCCCAAAGCTGAACTCCTTTGGCCGCTCCTCATTCCAGTTTGCTGCTTCCAACGACTGGAATAAGCTGCAAAAATCACTAAAGCTCACTACATTTCATTATCTGCCTTCAATAATTCATTGCACTCAATAGTTTCTGATCAATGTGCCTGCTTCTGAGTACTTAAAGATTGTTTTAAGTCTGTTTTGATTGCTTGCATCAACTCATCTGGTTAAACAAAGGTTAAATAAATAAATAAAATACAAAACTGGACTAGGAAACAAGTCACAAAGGCTAAATAGGTCAAAATATCTGTTTATATGTAAAAAGATTAGATTTACTTTTTATTAAAGCCATCCTTCTAATACTAATCTCTTTTGCTGTGGAGGACCTTAAGCCTTTTGCTAGATCAGTTTAATGGACACCGTTAAAAGGGAAGTTTTGGTTTGTCTTTCGAAGAAATATATCCCAATTAATTTTTAAAGGAACCACAAAGAACCTGAAATAAAACTGAACAGGAGAAACGGAGGAGACAACGAGGTGAAACGCTCTGCTGTTTTAACACCGCGAACACGAAATACACCTGACAGGAAGTCGGGGATGTTTTCCACTTTGGCATGAAGGCATCTGAAGAACAAAGGAGGCTATATGACCATTACAGCATCAGAGCATCAAAGACTGTCCATCAGAACAGAAGTAATGAAAAGGCAGGTTTAGTGAAAGTTCTGGGATAAAAGTTTACCACAACTGAACAATATACTACATTTGGAATCAATCAATTTGCAATATCAGTTTCTTAAATAGATGACCGCTGATTCTGAGTGTAAAAAGTAGGGATGCTCAATATTGCCTCACTCTTAATTTCAAATACTGTTATAAACAGATACTGATAAATGTGGGGTCCCTACTAATGAAAAAATATTAATTTTCATTTAGGTTGCGAACATCACGTATCCCTTATCACGACTGCTTAACCTTCAAATATTATCAGTGCAAAATTGCAACTACTTAATTTAAATAAAAGTTCATGTTTAATTTGTCTTTGAAAGTATCGTTTGTTTAGGGAATGTTTGGGCGTGTGTTAAAGTTACTTGGTTGATAAAATGTAAGCAGCGTGAGCATACATATGCTAAGCTAGGCTAATTGCTAAGCAGGCTGCTAAGATGTGTTTATTAATCAGTAATGTATTTTTTCTGTTTCTGTATTTTATAGTTGCGCTGATAAAGCATTTATAAAGATCTTCGTTTAAGAAAAACAAGACCTTACGTGAAGATTCTTGTGTTTATTTTAGTAGTTTGTTAGCTGCTAGCTACACATGGCTAAGGGCAAATCCTTTATGTAGGGCAAAACTCCTAATTATTTACGAGTTGTGCCAAATAAAACTAAAATATCTCAAAAACTAAACTTCAGATCTGTTTTACTTTGGCATTTGGAGAGGGAGGGAGGGAGGGGGAGAGAGAGAGAGGGAGGGAGGGGGAGAGAGAGAGAGAGAGAGACGAGGCAGAAGAAGAAAGAGAGAGAGAGAGGGAGAGACGAGGCAGAAGAAGAGAGAGAGAGAGGGAGAGACGAGGCAGAAGAGAGAGAGAGAGAGGGAGAGACGAGGCAGAAGAGAGAGAGAGAGAGAGAGAGACGAGGTAGAAGAAGAGAGAGAGAGAGAGAGAGAGAGAGAGGGAGAGACGAGGCAGAAGAGAGAGAGAGAGAAAGAGAGAGAGAGAGAAGAGAGAGAGAGAGAGAGGGAGAGACGAGGCAGAAGAGTGAGAGAGAGAGAGACGAGGCAGAAGAAGAGCGAGAGAGAGAGAGAGAGAGAGAGACGAGGCAGAAGAGAGAGTGAGAGAGAGAGAAGAGGCAGAAGAGAGAGAGAGAGAGAAGAGAGAGAGAGAGAGAGAGAGAGAGAGAGAGAGAGAGAGAGAGAGAGAGAGAGAGAGAGAGAGAGAGAGAGAGAGGAGACAGAAGAGTTAGGCCGGGGACACACCGGCCGCGGAAGCGCCGCGAAGCGCCGCGAAAATGGGACCGCCTTCATTCGGCGCCCTTGTTAAGCTATTCTATAGACCACATGGGCCGCCGAAGCGCCGCGAATCGCCTCGCGCCGGCGCTCCAGCCCGCGCCGTGCAGCGATCATTTCGGCGTTGGCTCTATTTTTTTCGCGAGCCGCGGGTGAATCGCGTCAATTCTGGCAGGAAGTCAAACGTAGACGTAAGAGGCAGGCCGGTAAAGTTAACAAAATAAAGCATTTCAAAATAAAATTCCGCAATAGTCAAATGTGTCCGTAAACAGACACTGCAGAAAAACCACACGAACACGCACACACATACACACACATCGAACTTGTGTGCGTGTGTGACCACGTGAAGGGGGGAGTGGTTTTGGGTGTCTTTTCACCGGAGCAAACAGGACAGAGAGGCAGAAAGTCTGAGGCAAGCAGTTAGGATGATGACTTTAAATTAATTATGGAAGTTGAGAAACACAAGGAGCTGTACGACCCCCGAAAAACATGATTGTTTACGTACCCATGTCGGAAGAAACTGCTAAGATACAGCTGCAGAATTGGAGCGGGTTCCAAGAGATTCAACTGGCAGAAACAACTCATACCATAGGTTCACACACACACGCGCGCGCGCGCGCACGCGCACAAACACTCAAACGTAGGAAAAGAGCTGAGAAAAGGCAGAGAGGAAATGGAGGACACCAAGTGTTTAAAAGAAAAACTACAGCTGAGCCGAGGCGCGCCTCGACTGGGGCGCGTCTGATCTGAACTGAGAAGCGGCGAGCAGCGGCCGAATTTCGTGAGCGATTCGCTTCTCGGCGCTTCGCGGCGCTTCCGCGGCCGGTGTGTCCCCGGCGTTAGAGGTATAATATGTGCACGGTATGGAAAAGTTGAGTAACTAAGGGGTAAAAACCAATACCGATAATTTCCAATGTTAAATTTTAAGGTCAATGTTGACCAATAAGATTAGTAGACCAATAAAATTGGACATCCCTAGTAAAAAGGCAATAAGGAGAAATTATTCACACCGATAATGGAAGAAAATAACTTATCATTGCATATTAAGTGGCCTATAAAGATTCAATTAATCTAAATTCTTATGAAATCATTTGGCGTTATCATATTTTGGTGTAAAAATGCTAAAAGCCTTAATAGTGCTTAGACACCACCGGAAATGAAAGTAAACGTTATTAAAAACATTTGAAAAAGCAATATTTACAAACAGATCTCTTGTATTTATGTTAATATGGTGCAAAAATAGTCTGCGATGACAAAAAAGCCTCTAAAGACACCGGAACTGATTGGATAACGATATATTTTAAGTAATACCTCAGCATTGTTGTAGTAGGCAGTGCTATTCTTCTCCTGGACATCTTCTCCTCTGGCCGTGAAGAAGGTTAGAGGGTAGAAGTCCTTGTGGGAGGGCTGCTTCCCACTCGCCATTAGCTTCCCATCATAAAATAACTCGGATGTGTAGCTTTAGGAAGAGCAGAAGAAAAACAGAAGAAACATGAAAATAAAACCATGTTTTAAGAAGATTCATCATCATTCAGATTAGAAATGGTCTCAAAGGACGTAAAGATGTGTTCCTGAGTGCTGCAGCAGGGAGGTCTTTATGAGTTTCTACAGAAACACGAGTTAGCATAACGTTTTTAACTTTGCCATCAGGAGAAAATCAAGTTTCCGTTCAGGGTGACTGAATGTTTCCATTATAATAATATTAATGGGGCACAAGAATCAAACAAGCACAGTAAAAAAAAATGTTAAATGGTACAAAAAAAGAAAACAAGATTGTAAATGCGTTTTTTTGGGTTTCATTTCAGTCACAACTACTTACAGAATACTCGTTTCCACTATCGGCACGTCCAGGTAATTTTACCAGATCTTCATGGGGTGTGTGTGTGTTGTCATTTCACCAAAGGCCCATTCCAGGGACCAACTGAGCACCTGAACTGTACTTGGAAAGACCCAGTTAGGTACTTTATGCTGCTTTGAGGTAGGGTTGACACGGTAACCGGTATAGCGGTAAACCCCGGTAAAAAAGTTGACAATAAAAATAACCGTCCAGTTTTTAAAAAACTATATTATCTCGGTGGGTTTACCGTGGCCGCGGTTTCGGCGCGGTGACCCTTACCAGCCACCGTCGCTTCAGCTGAAGTTCCCGCGGCGCGCACACGCACTTTTTAGTTTGCAACGGCACCAAAACTTTGAAGCTGAAATAATGGCCGAAGGAGGAGACGGCAGCGCCCAGGACATCCATCAGCCCTCAAAGAAGACTAAATCGGAAGTATGGGCATATTTTGGATTTCTGAAAAATGCTGAGGGACAGTTAATATGACGGCTATCCCGTTTGCAGAACGTGCAGGAAACAAGTGTCTGCAAAAGGCAGCAACACTTCGAATCTAATGGCACATCTGCGTGACCATCACCCACGTCTCCACAGCCAGTGCAAGGTAAGTTAACATTAGCATTTTAGCTTAAATGCATGACGTGAGGACTTTTGGTTGAGGGAGAATGCAACGAGTCACTATAGACTGCAGCCGCAGCGTCCTCTGCCAGCATTTAAACCGTGTCACGGACACCCTGTTGCTGGATGAAGCATCTTATTTGTTGATGATGAAGAGAAATATACAATTAGTTCCTTGTCATTGATTTGTTTACTTATTCAATGCCATTTATACTTGAACATTTGGATTTGATTACATAGTGTAGTAGTTATTTTAGTAATTTGTTTAAAGTGGCTATTTATTTTAAATACATGTTTTTTAAGGTTGACTTGTACAGCGCTCAAGTCAAGTGTGGACTGGAGTTTTAGATTTTCATTTTGATAATGAAGAAAACAAGTATATGAGAAAACAAGTGGTGTTTCTTTGATTTGTTTACATATTGTTTATGTTTTGAATGTCTGGATTTGTATAATTTAAACCTGCACTGACTACTGTAACATGTTCCAGAAAAATAAGCTATTTGTTCCTTTACTTGTGAAAAGTTGCACTTTTGCTAAGGTTTTGTGTTATTTTAGGTTTAATAAACACTGTTAAACCTTTTCAGAACTATTTCAGTTTGTGTAGAACAGGACTATCAATGCTTTCTGAACATATGCAACACCGTTTAAAAAATACCGCGATAATACCGAAAACCGTGATAATTTTGGTCACAATAACCGTGAGGTTACATTTTCATACCGTGACAACCCTACTTTGAGGTCTCCAACACAACGGTCTAAAAACTGTTGCTTCTTCTGGTCACTGAACTCGAAGTTTTATGTTTCACTGCCACTCTGCTCGCCCCTGAATGAATTAAATTACGGAAAACTTGGACTGAATAAAACTTTTAAAAAGCCTGGCGGAGCTTCTGCTGTGTGGTGAAGTTGACTGACGTTTCAGCAAATTTCTGAAAGGGTCAATTCTGCGTGGAGACAACGGCTGAGATGACGAGCCAATATATTTTTCCTGTCTCCTATCCCCCCTCCCAGAAATTCCCCATAACTCCTAAAGTGGAAACACGACAAGAATTTCCAAACCAATACCTAGAATGGATCTTGTGTTTTAAGACATAAATACCCATATTTAAAGCTGTTGTCATAAGCTACAAGTAGTCTTGTAGTTTGGAGCACCAAAAATACCAAAAATCCCCACGAGCTTCATCTTTCCAGTCTTTAGGAGCCAACGCTTACACTCAAGGCATTGTTAAGTGCTCACACCTACTTGATGATAGCTTCATGGGAGCGGTAGTTCTCACACAGGAGGATCCGACAGGGGAATTCACGGGGATAGTGCTCGTACAGCCGGTCCAGCAGAGACACGTGCAGGTTACGCTCTCGAGCAAACTCGCTGTAGACAAACGGACTGAGCTGCAGGAAGGGAAGAAAGAAGAAGGGAAACAAATTAAAGGAGGAGGGAGTCCAAAAAAATTCGTAAACAAAGTAAAATATGACTAAGGCTTCGACTAAATAGTGAGGCGAGGTTTCTCTTTAGCTCTTCTTCGTGTGACGTTCAGAACTTAAAAACAAATTCTGAGCTTTAGTGATTGTGTAAGATGTTTGGACAGCAGCCTGAAACCAAGCTAAATTACATCCCCTTTTCATCATCGCTGCACGAACCCCGTTGTTGGAGAGCTTCTCTAATATCAAAAGATGTTGGTGTTGGACAGATTTACATAAGAACAGTGTAGGTAGTTGATTAGGTTCACCCTGAATGAAACCCCCCCAAAAAAGTTATTTAGGGGTTCAGAACAAATCAACTGGTGTTTAAAAAAATTATGTAATCAAAAAAAGTGTCAGTGTATTCTCGGCTGGTCTGTTAGTTTGATTAGTTCTCATCTGCTGATGAAACTGAAGCAACATTTAGATCTTTGAGATGTTTAAACCAAAACAGATACCCACCAAACTAAACTTTCATTTATGAGTTTAAGTGCACCAAATGAGAATATAGACTTAGACAAATAATGAAAAATAACTTAGATCTGAATATAAAAGGAAACTTCTTTCAACTTATTGATGCAAACCTTATTTTTACAGATTAAATTGTTAGAAAAGTTGATATCAAAAGTTTTAGAAAGTAATAAAAAAAAGCAGCCTGCTAATCCTTATTTCCCCCTCATATTCACATAGAGAGCAGCGGCTGATCGAGTCAAATGAAACAATTATTTCATGGCAGACGTTTGCCTCGTCTTCATCCAGTTCTTACTGATAATCCTGTGCACTGTCTCAAGAACCAAGAGGAGATGAAATGAAGTTTTAAATCCTCGCAGTGACTTAAAAAGCTGCACCTGACTTGAGTTTATGTCATCTGTGGCTGAAATGACCTCACAGCTTTACAATGGAAACAGTTATTACTGCAGCTGCTTCCGTCTCAGGCCACGTTCTACCCTGCTGCTCAGGCCTATTTCAGCTCATTTGAAAACACCATGGAAGTGGTTTGTAATGTGGATTTAAATAACGACAATTTGCAAAGAGGTTTGTTCTTTTCCTTCCCTAGAGAGGCAAAATTACAGCTTTATTTACCTGCATGTGGTCCCCCGCCAGCACGATGCGGGTGGTCTTGCTAGCTAGAGCGAAAGGCATGATGGTTTCACACTCCATGGCCTGAGCTGCTTCATCCAACAGGAGATGAGTAAACAACCCTGACAAACACAGATCATCATCATCATCATCATCATCAGTACAATTTCATATGACTCGAGAATAAAATCAAGACTAAAACAGACAGAAGCCGGAGTTCTGCTACTTTTCCCTTCTCCAGTCCTGTAAAGTGGGGATTGGTGGAAATGTATGATCAGCTAGTATCTACCTGGTTCAGATGGCTCTTTGAATGTTTTCAATCTGGATTAAAAAATCAGTTCAGATTGAACTGACGCGCTAACATCTAGTCTCAAACTGTGATAAACATATTCCAGCCTCAGAAATGACAAAGCAGGTTTGCAAATGATATTTTCCTTTAACTGCTGGGTGGAATTCCCCATTTCTGCTGTTGTTGATAAAATATGAGATATATGGTTTAAAATTTTATATAACATCGTTTGTTTGTTTGTGAAACTGCAGTTAAAATGGCAGAAAGGTTTATTGTTTAGTTTGTAGTTTAGTTTGTAGTTTCTACAAACTGTAGCTTTTCAATGAGTTATCCACAAATGGTAGATTATTATTCATGAACACCTTTTTACACAAACATTTCTAAAAGTCTGAATTATGCCCTGAAGCCGTGTTGTCTGGAACCACCCTCAAAACGGTGGTGCAAATTTAGGAGGAGTTGGACTAAATTACAGATATGAGTATAAATGGTGAACTAATTGAGACTCAGCTTAGATACAGGTCCTTCTCAAAAAAAATGTGCATTTTGTGATAAAGTTAATTATTTTCTGTAACGTATTGATAATCATTAGACTTTCATATATATTAGATTCATTACACACAACTGAAGTAGTTCAAGCCTTTTACTGTTTCTAATATTGATGATTTTGGCGTACAGCTCAGGAAAACCCAAAGTTCCTATCTCAAAAAATTGGCATATTTCATCCGACCAATAAAAGAAAAGTGTGTTTAATACAAAAAAGTCAGCCTTCAAATAATTATGTTCAGTTATGCACTCAATTCTTGGTCGGGAATCCTTTTGCAGAAATGACTGCTTCAATGCGGCGTGACATGGAGGCCATCAGCCTGTGGCACTGCTGAGGTGTTATGGAGGCCCAGGATGCTTCGATTGCGGCCTTAAGCTCATCCAGAGTGTTGGGTCTTGCGTCTCTCAAGTTTCTCTTCACAATATCCCACAGATTCTCTACGGGGTTCAGGTCAGCAGAGTTGGCAGACCAATTGAGCACAGTAACACCATGGTCAGTAAACCATTTACCAGTGGTGTTGGCACTGTGAGCAGGTGCCAGGTTGTGCTGAAAAATGAAATCTTCATCTCCATAAAGCTTTTCAGCAGATGGAAGCATGAAGTGCTTCAAAATCTCCTGATAGCTAGCTGCATTGACCCTGCCCTTGATCAAACACAGTGGACCAACACCAGCAGCTGACATTGCACCCCAGACCATCACTGACTGTGGGTACTTGACACTGGACTTCAAGCATGTTGGCATTTCCCTCTGCCCAGTCTTCCTCCAGACTCTGGCACCTTGATTTCCGAATGACGTGCAAAATTTGCTTTCATTCGAAAAAAGTACTTTGGACCACTGAGCAACAGTCCAGTGCTGCTTCTCTGTAGTCCAGGTCAGGCGCTTCTGCCGCTGTTTCTGGTTCAAAAGTGGCTTGACCTGGGGAATGCGGCACCTGTAGCCCATTTCCTGCACACGCCTGTACACGGTAGCTTTGGAAGTTTCTGCTCCAGACTCAGTCCACTGCTTACGCAGGTCCCCCAAGGTCTGGAATCGGTCCTTCTCCACAATCTTCCTCAGGGTCCGGTCCTCTCTTCTCGTTGTGCAGCGTTTTCTGCCACACTTTTTCCTTCCCACAGACTTCCCACTGAGGTGCCTTGATACAGCACTCTGGGAACAGCTTATTTGTTCAGAAATTTCTTTCTGTGTCTTGCCCTCTTGCTTGAGGGTGTCAATGATGGCCTTCTGGACAGCAGTCAGGTCGGCAGTCTTACCCATGATCGTGGTTCTGAGTAATGAACAGGCTGGGAGTTTTTAAAAGCCTCAGGAATCTTTTGCAAGTGTTTAGAGTTAATTTGTTGATTCAGACGATTAGGTTAATAGCTCGTTTAGAGAACCTTTTCATGATATACTCATTTTTTGATAGGAATTTTGGGTTTTCATGAGCTGTATGCCAAAATCATCAATATTAGAAACAATAAAAGGCTTGAACTACTTCAGTTGATGAACTCAATGAATATTTTTCTGTCCGCCAATGTAGTTCGCAAAGTACTTGACCGCCCACACGGTGGAAAGCAAAGTCTTTTCACAGTCCAAGTACAATACAGAAACTAATGAATTTATCACAATATGCTAATTTTTTGAGAAGGACCTGTACATTGTGACTAATCTGCAACAGGCGTCTTTGCACAAAAGTCACGCACGCCATTCACAATATGTTTACAATTACACCATTAGCCCCAAATTGACCAAAACATTTATGAAGATCATCACTATTGAATTCTACCAATTCAAAGCGACTCCCACTATTTTCTTTGTGATTTAGTGTGATTTAGTGTCTCCAACTAGTCGCTAGCAGTCACAGCCCACTGGTTTTAGGTCATAAATTGGTGGGCAAAGAACATAACATGTCACTAGATTTAATAAAATTGGTAAAGGGTACTTTTGACATGTTTTATTTGAAGTATCTTTGTGAATATTTGCCCAATCTGATATGAATTATTGAAAGTAGCATCAAGAAAAAAGCTGTTTCTCATATTTATCCTATTATGCAGTTATTCCCTGGTGTTACTCCCAGAGCAGCTTAGAGCTAAATATCTAACCAAACATTTGAAGGCAGTTTAGATTGAAGATCTTTGAATCGATCGAATGCCATTCAACACATTATTTTAGTCACTTGGTCCTGGAAATTATATGCACAAACCCTTGTGAAAGGCTTTAAAGCAGACCTCTCACCCTAATTTAACCTCATTTTTGTTTGAAGTATGAGAATGCTTGAACCCTGATTTCGAGAGCTCAAAGCTCTGCAGTATGAGTGAAAGAGATAAAACAGCATGGTAAATGAGTGCCAGAGCAGGGAGTGGAGAAAAGAGGCTGAATAACAACCAGCGAGCTGCCTCTACAGCTACACCAGCTTCACAGGAAAGCATGTGAAGTCGTGAAATGTGACGGCCAGAAACCGTAAAACAAACTTGGAGGGGGGATGTGGGGGTGGCACGAGTAAACAAAATGACAAAAACATGTCTGGCAAACAGAGAGGAGGAGCGGTTTGATTCAAGGCAACATTCACTGTTCAGTAGACTCCTTTGAACAAATGCCTACAAAACACATTTCAAGGCATTTAGGTCTTTTGTTCTTGTTTTTATTCCAGCTGTAAAGCCTCAAGCCCGTGCTCTCCTGAAGCCGGGGCTGCCACCCCTTCCAAACTGCATCGCTGATAAAACGATACGCACTTCAAATCAAAGACCCGTGTTTCTACTAGGGATGCACCGATCAGGTTTTTTGCTGCCGATCACCGATACCGATATCAAAGAATGCTGATCACCGATACCGATCACGTGGATTGGCCAGAAATTTTCTACAACATTATAATGAGTGCTACAAACTACATAATCTGGGAATAAAGGAAATGTAACCTAATCTAAAATGGTCTGTATTAGGTTTGTCACAGTGTGAAAATTTAACCTCACGGTTATTGTGACCAAAATTACCACGGTTTTCGGTATTATCGCGGTATTTTTTTTAAACGTGCTACATTTTCACACAATTAAATAAACCCTGTATGTCAGGAAATATTGTCCTCAGTTTGTGTCTAAATTTTGCCTAAAATGTGTTATTTTGTAATTACGTTGTTTATTTGTTTACATTTTTCCCCTTTAGTCTTTAAAATACCAATATTTGCCCATAACGTCGTATTTTATGTCTGTTTGATGTCATCATTTTAAAAATATTAGATCAGATGATACTCAGTACTCAAGTAGCTTTCTAATCAGATACTTTTTTACCCTTACTTGAGCAATCCGTATTTCAGGAAAATATTGTCCTCAGTTTGTGTCCTTCCAGTGAGCTTTGCAGATGTGGGAAAATGTCATCAGGCAGTAATCGTTGTTAAATTCATAATTATTCTCGGAGAGAGACCAACTCTTATCTGCCCCTGGGAGCCCCGTAATGCATAGCGTCATTTCAACACGGCGGTGTCCGCGACACGGTTTATATGCAGGTAGCGGCGCTGCGGCTGCTTTATATAGCGACTCGTTGCGTTCTCCCTCAACCCAAATCCTCGGATCACGCATTTTAGCTAAAACGCTAACGTTAGCTTGCCTTGCGTTGACTGTAGAGTTGTGGGTGATGGTCACGCAGATGTGTCATGAGATTTGAAGCGTTGCTGCCTTTCACAGACACTTTTTCTGCACGTGCTGCAAACAGGGTAGCCGTCTTCTATAAACTCCCTCGGCATTCTTCAAATATCTAAAATATGCCCATACTTCCGACTTTGTCTTCTTTGAGGGATAATAAATGTCCTCCTGAGCGCTGCCGTCTCCTCCTTTGACCATTATTTCAGCTTTAGCTTCAAGAAAGTTTTGGCTGTAAACAACAAAGTGCGCATGTGCCGCCGGCAACTTCTGCAGATGATACGGTGGCTGGTAAGGGTCACCGCGCCTACACCGCAGCCACGGTAAACCCACCAAGATAATATAGTTTTTTAAAAACAAGACGGTTATTATTGTCAACTTTTTTTTTTTTACCGGGGTTTAGCGCTACACTGGTTACCGTGACAACCCTACCTGATCGGTTTGCTTTGATCTATTTTGAAAATTCCGATCAAAACCGATAGGGGCGCTATCGGCCGATTACGATCAAATGCCGATCCATCGGTGCATCCCTAGTTTCTACATACATACCGTCTTCGTTTGTCAGTTACAAAGTGCGAAATGGGCCTTTGAAGTCGTCTATTGAAGGCATCAGTGTTTCATTGAAGTCTTAGAAGTATCATTTTCAACCGTTCTGATGAAGTCGGCCTTAAGCTTTTTATT